CATTTGGGAATTCGGTCAATAAATTTAAAAAATTTTAAAATTTTTTGATGTTCATTAAACGACCCACAAATGCATTTGAGTAATCTAGACTAAAGGAATGTCTGCCGACCTATAAAGTTCTACTTATGAAGTGAATCAATGTTCATAAACTTGATTTATTTGTTTCAATGCTCTGGACTCTGTTCTTTATTAAATATGGAAAGTCTAGAAGAGTTTAAACCATCAAGGCCAAATGCTTAATTTCAGGTTGAAACCTCTTATTTAATAGACAAAATGGGCCATAATATATTTGCCATCAAAAAGTAACCCCAACCTGGTTGAGGAATTATGACATATCTTTATTTCAAAGTTTAAATTTAAAAAAGGAAGCTTCAAAATGTTTTTTTCATTCGTTTTCTATCAAAACATGCCATAATCATAAATTTGACTATAAACTCTAAATCAGAATGGCAATCAATTATTAGGCAAATATATAATAGCTAGCTTACATAATAAAAAGTTATCTCCAAAATGATAATAATCCATGGGGGATGTAGATGTACATATATATTTTTTTTTTATCGATTAAATAGAACTACGTTGAGCGAGTTAAGTAATCATTATAACATGTATTGAGTGTATATTTCATATATATCTTGTAATCATCATGAATCAAGTTGTTTCTCTTTATCAAAAAACTGCTTACTCAGCACATGCGAATGACTACTTCTGTTGTCATAAATCATATGCATTGTGTTTGAAAGTTAATCTTTATCTACGTATTATAATGTAAGAAAAGTTTAAAAGCATGGATGAGAAAACGTTTTAATGAGTTGAAACCTGAGAATTAATTAAAAAAGAAGGCGTTTATTTAAGGGTTGTTTCTTCCGCTCCGATCGTCTCCGCATTCATTTAATGAAAAGTTATATCGAAATTCTTAATCTTTAAAAAGATCAACCTTATTGAAAAATTAACATGTTACGCTGTCTATTTTTACCGAAGAGAAAATACTGGAATTTTGCAAATCAGAAATTCTTAAAAGGTCATATTTCAATTCTTATTTATCCGAACGCTCATAAGCATTGTATCGTATATTTGACTTTATGCGTCATCCCACATTCCATTTTACATTACTTAATCTTCATTTTTTCGATCGAGAAAAGGTTTTAAAACTCTTATTTTTGTGTATTCTCACTTCGAGAATTTCTTTTCTCGATGGGTCATTCACAAATGACGTTTATTGACAGCACAGGTATTCTCATCAACTTATAAAACATTCAAAACAGAAAACATAATTTGAAGTGTTGCAAAGCAGACCCTCTTTCAAATCGTTAAACTTCATTTATGAACAACCCCAAAAAGTTTTTGATGGCTAAAAATTTCTTGCGAAAAGAAAAATTGTTTAAACAATGAATTGTTGTTGTTATGCTTAAAAATGTGTTTGTTGCTACTTCTCATGATATTACGCTAGCATTTTTTCGAAAGAATCGCGAAATTTTATTTTTAAAAAGAGAAAATAATTGATTTTCAATATTTCCTTGATTTGTTTTAACCTTTAAAAATCTATTTTGTATTTAAATTTTTAAAAGTCATGGGAAATGAGTTTTACCAGTTGATGTGAGACTAAAGATGTCTGCTTAATTTGGTTGCAAGGATAGACCAACAATTTTCTAATGAAGCTTTCGAATTGTTCAGTTTTTGAACACTCCTGTTGATTGATGAGAATATCCTAAAAGCAATTTTGGAATGCAACAACATGCTAAATTCTGCAAATCATTATAAGCTGTTTTTAATTCAATTAATGATGATAAATAACGCGATAATTTGCATAATTCTGTTTTCTTGATATTGCCAGACTGTGCTTTATAATTACACTGGATTTATCAAATTTATTTCAATGTCAAATTACTGAGTTCACGAGCCTTAAGTCCACAAATTATGATTCACTATCATCGCATTTCTTAAAATTAAAATTTGACCTTAATAGTTCTCGACACCTCTAGTAAATAGCTGATTAATAATATAAAAGAAATGAGCTAATAATTTCCATTTTTAACTCTCTTTAAACGACCTCAACTCATGAAACTATAACAAGTCGTAGCTCTTCGATTGACGTACTTCTTAAAATCAATAGAAAAATGCTATTTCCACTGAATTCTTTACAATTAAAGATTTTGCACAAACATTCTCTCAAGCGAAACTCTAAATTAGTGTAAGAGCGTTGACAAGCTTTTAATTGGAAAATGTGCAGCCACTAATTCTATATTGTTGTGAATTGATTTTTTAATTAATAAACTTCTGTCGTGCTCTACTATTGTGTATATAGAATTTTTTTGGGGTGTAGTAAATGGATGTAAATTAAAAATGTAAAAGTTAAATGTCGTGCTATTGAGCTAGCATGTAATGGGGATTGAATAAAACTCGACGACTCTACATTATTAACCTGATTGAAGCAACTTACTTTTTGCTTATATGGTATATTATTTGGCTAAATGACAACTTCTAAAAGCGTCTAATGATTAATGCAAGGCAACAAATATAATGAATTTATTGATAATTTGTTTTAATAAAAGTTTCAAAAGTTTTAACTACGAATTTAATAGTTTTGTGTATTAATTTTATGAATTTCACATTTAAATTAAATGAATATTAACTCTTTAATCAGTTGCTGAGTTGTGTCTAATAATTAAGTTAAGGTTGAATTTGTTGAGAGTTTTCAGTCTGAATTATAAATTGAGACTGAAAGAATCTAAAAACAACAATGAGGGGTAGTCAACTAGTCATGGTTACTTTGATTTAAAAATATTTTAACCGTTGAAAATTACATTTAACAAACTCAAGTCTCATATTGAATAATCAACGAAAAGTTTCATAGAATTAAATTAATTATTTATAACAAATATTCTTTCTCTTTCCATTTTTCTTCTTCCTTTTATTTTCACAAAAGCTTTCGACCTTTAAGCATTACTGTCAATTTCTACACAATCTATAGAAAAATTTGTCTTAAAATTGTTTTGGTGACGGGTGGAAGCAATCATGAATTCGAATTTAATTGACATAGAGACATGGTTAATATTTCAGAAAATATCATCAGATTGTGCAAACTGCTTGTGTAAGTCAATGATGGTCAATTGTCTGTTTTTCTAATTGTTATTTGGTGTTAATTGTTTTGACTTAATAAACTCATATTTGTAGCACATTGTTTATCTTTATCACTCATATTGCAAAATATTGGAACACATGTTATCATCCGTTGAAAGAATTAATTAATGTTACCTGCAATACTATATAGATTTATGTACTTACATCACTCTATGGCTATTATGTTTCCATTGCAGAATAGAACACAAAATTATAAACAACATCATTATTATTTTTTATTATGAAAATAAACTGCACGTGTGCGATAAACACGAATGGAAAATTCTGCATTTTGGTATTTATTTGTGCTTTATAATTTCTTTTTGAAAAAACATCACGAAACCAAAAACAAAATCACGATATACATTGTAAGCTTCTTTCATTTGCTCATTCCTGCTTATAATTTTCACTTCATAAGAAGTAAAAATAAAACTTTGAAGCTGCTTATGGGGTTATTTATTCATGGAGAAACATATTCATTTCATAAATTACGCGAAGTTTATTGAAAGAAAAGTAATAATGTTGACGATGCGGGTTATAATGGAAGCTTTCATTAGCTTATTAATGTTTTCGTAGGTAATAATGCTTCATATTGATCTTTCTTATTATTTTTATGGAAATAATTTATGCATTTCCTCTTTTTATAGAATATTTTATTGCTTTATAAGCTTAAGGTTCATTTAATCATTTAATTTTGACCTTGATTGTGGGAAAAACTAATCAAAGACGACCTTGTGGATATTTTTGCAAAACCTTCATTTTTTATGAGTCAATTTTTCCTTTCCTTTTTGTTCCATTTTCTTGTTTTGTTCATTTAAAGACTACAATAGAAATGCTTTCTAGGTATGAAATTAAAGTAAGAAGTTTCATCATGACCATCTTACTTTTTATCGGTTCTATATTCATTGCAAAAATCTAGACATACGCATCTGTCGTGGCTGTATTGTCATTTCCATTTAGACATCACCCACAAAGTCTAGTGGGAATCAAACCCACATCCTCGAAATATGTAAAAACATTACAAACACACTGGATCTTTCAAATCACACTTTTAAATTTTCCAAAAAATTTCTAGATTCCATTTTGTCAAGTCAGCAATATCCAAGGTGACAATTGCTTTTAATTTGAAATTTTCTAGAATTTAAACAAAATAATCCTTAGTCAAGATCACAACAACAAATAGTTTTAATGGATACAACCTGGGATTTCCAAGAACCAAACATTGCACTAATGAATTATTGTGACTGATAAATTTACACCGGGGATTCAATACATTTGAATAAAGCACGTTGGAAATCAAACCATTAAAATCGCAGAAGAAGAATATTTTATTGATTCACATTTCCTCCTACATTGAGTCGATAGCAATTTCCATTATACCTTCGATATCTTTAATATTTTGTAGTTGATAGTCAATAATACTCTTTTTTAGTTCTTTTATTTTACACAGCTTTTAATTTTCTTTTTTACGGGATTTTTCTTTATTTCTTTATTTTTAGTTGTTAACGATCATAATCGTCATCCTTTCCATAAGCGTTTTCCTGTTTGTCTTGCTTATTTCCCCCCCACTTCTACTGTCATTATCAGAAGCTTTAAGGAAAACATACACTAAAGCCATAGAAGCTTCATTAAACGAGAAAATCATCAGGATCATTTTATTTGTTATAGTTTCATGTTTAAACGAGAAAATTGAAGCAACATCGTGGGAAAAAATCATTTCCTTACAGTATCATTATTCTCACCTCATAAAGACATAAAAAGTTATAGCTTTCCGTCATTCCTCTTGTACTTTAATTATAATTTTGACATTTGTGGGGAGAAACAAAATTTGAATAAGAACATAAATCCACTACAGACTATAAATTTTGTCAGAGAGAAAGATGGCCAACACAGGTAAGAATCATAATTAAACGAACACAAAGAAATAGATAGCTCTGGGTGTAATCCAATTAACAAAACTGTAGCAAATTTTGGAATTTCTTTATTTTTTGTAGATTAACGAATTGTTTGCATGACTATCGTATATTACTATTTATTATTGATTTAATGGTCATTTGAAACTTGAATCAAAGCAATAATGACTTCGAAAAGCGAGCTGTAATTAAATCGTTCATAATGATTCTCAATCTAGTCGAGTTTCTAATACTTTGGCGCTATTTGATGAATTTTCATTCATTTTGGGTGTTTATAAGATGATAACTTTAGGAATCACTTTTTAAGATTCTGGATCTTGACTTTTTGAGAACAATAAATTATAATCATTGTCAAACTTGTTGTTTGAGATTAAAAACCTTTAAACGTTATTAATCGTTGTTTAATTGTCTAAAGTACTAATTTCATTGAACAATCAAAAAAGCGCACTAATAAATAATTTTGGTAATTTCCTAACTCTCATTGGTCATGTAGAAATAAATCATAATGGGATGTAATGATAACAACATAAACATAACGATATCCATCACACAAGGCTCGGCACCAAAAAGAAAATTTATTCTTTATCCAAGTTTCTAGCCTCTTATTTCATTTAAAATTCATTGTATCATGTTTTATTCAAATAAAATATAAATAATTTATTTTCTCATATTCGTTTACCTTACATAGTCATGACGGATAATGCATTCAAAGCAAAGGACATTGGCCTTAGGGCGCAAAAGAAAATTCTCAGTCGAATGGCATCAAAAAACATTGCAAAAGTGTTTATAGATGAGACAACTGCCTCCCTCCTTGATAATGTTTATCGTCTGACAAAGCAACAGTATGGAAGCAAAAAGGATGCTGAGAAACTCGTCAAAAATATTATTAAAATTGTGATAAAAATAGGTAACTTAATAGATTTTATGATGAATAATTTTGATGCTAGCGAATCTTTTATTTTCTTTACAGCAATTCTTCAAAAGAACAACTGTTTCACTGAGGATGAGACGAAGAAGACGGATACCTTTTTCAAGAAATTCCTCAAACTTCAAATGTCAATTATCAGTTTCTTTGAAGTAGATTTCAGTTTCGACTTAACTTACCTGCAAAAACTCATATCAGAGATACATCAACTACTTAAAGATATTGTTAGGAATCATTTAACAGACAAGAGTTTAGCAAGAATCGACGAGATTTTCGAGTCTCTCAATAATCCACAATTTCTTGAGTCAATTTTTCGACATGATGGTCCACACAAAGAAGTGATGGGAAAGATTTGTGAGGATTTAAATAAAATCCTTGAGCAAAACGAATAGAAATAAGCTTCCTTGTATATTGTTTTCTTTCCTAGCATTAAAATATAAAGATTAAATTTTGTTTTAATTCCTTCTTTTTGTCCTCATTTTCCTTGTCGTTCTTTTTTAAGTTGAAAAAAAATGTTTTTCCAAAAAACAATAAATGTGTGATTTCTAATAAACTTATGAATCACCAGAATTTGTAAAACATGATTTTTATCATTTAAGAGAATCAGAAACTCGGTAAATTATATTCGTCCCTATTACATGTGATGATTAAAACAGTAAAAGTTGTCTCATTCGATTTTTGTGTGTAATTTAATTGTTAATAAGATATAGAACCATGAAACAGAAATCCGAGCTTTACAAAAATGATATATCAAGTACACATATCCTGTAAATGTAATCAAGTTTACAAGCAAGAAATCGTATAATGTTGATATTGATAATGTATTTTTGGGGAAAATAAAATAAATCGAAAAATGAAGTCAATGTCTTTTAAGTATTTCTAATAAATTATTAGCAAAGGATATCCTCGGTTGTGATTTTCTTTCAGGTTAATTTGTTTATAAAGAATATTTTCAGTTTGAGAAATTTGTTTATAAAGAATATTTTCTAAGGAGCTCATTGGAAGCTACTTAATGTTTCCTGAATAACGATTTAAATCATTTGATTTCCTGTTGCGGTTGAGTTTATAAAGCAGTTCAGACCCACTCCTATACCAAAACAATATCTCTCAGTTAATATCAAGTTTGTAGGGTTCGCATGTACTACATGTAAATTTTTTAAAACAAATTTTACAAAACCAATTATTTTCTTTAATTTTATTCCTTTTATCATATTTATCAAAAACTTCATAAAAGATATGATAAAAATGTTCAAATGTGCTTTAAGACTGCTTAAAAAGACAGGTTCCTGCATCAAAACACCTCTAATTTGACCTTCTATCCACAAGATATGGTTTCATATTGATCAAAAGTGTCCAAATAATCATTATCGAGACATATTGAAACAAATCAAGTAAAAATTAGAAGTCACAATTTTTTTTCTCAGAAATACATGTGCATGTTACGTGCGCATGCATGCGCATACATGCGAATGTTTTTGCATGTGAATGCACGCGCATGTCAATTTGGCGAACCCTTGAAGTTTGCCATCCATTCAGAAAATGTTTTTTATATTATTCAATTCATTTGATCACTACCTGCTATGTAATTGTGAAATCAACATTTAATTAAGCTAATTGACCAGATAAATCAATTAAAAACATTTTTCACAAGAATCCACACTTGCCGACAATAAGTTGAGGTAGATTGCTGAAAAGAATTTCAAATTTTAATAAGACGTTATTCATTTTATCGAATCGGTTTGGATGTAGCTATAGCTATAGACACTTTCTTAAGCATCTATGCCCCCTATACTCAGTGCATTCAAAAAAATAATAAAAGATACAATAAAAATTAATTTCAACTTATTATCAGTGTTTAAACAGATAGAAAGCTATGACAAATGTCTTAAAAGGATCGTTGAATGATAAGAAAACTGATCAGTTGATGAAAATATATGGTTTGCAGTGAGTAATGATAGATATTTTATAAAAATTTTAGTGAAATCTCTCTTTCTGCTGTCCTGCATTTCAAATTTTTGCAAATTTATGCACCTTTTTGTGAAAATTAGCGACTTACAGCAAGTTGTAGTGATGAAAACATAAACGTGTTTAATGAATCTTATCAATAATTCTAGATCAATTGATGGTGGCTCAGTGGAAAGTCTAAATTTTCACAACTATCCAGAATTTGATGATGGTGACTTATACAAATCAAGGTAAGATGCCAAAAGTGCGCAATTTTTTCATTTTCGTGTGTACTACTTTTATAATCTTAATATAACAGCTATGATTTATGCTTTATCGTGAGGAAGTTGAGAGGGATCATATAAAAGAAATTTATGCTACAAAAAAAAGGAAGGAAAATGTTAAAAAAAAATATATAAAATTTCTTCTCCTTTAATATAAATCTAAAAATAGCGAAATTCACGAACAGAGAAGAAAAAAAAATCATATTTGAGAAAAGAAAATAAGTTGAAGATTAAACTCGATGTCGTGCATGTATTGGTATATTTAGTGTGGTTGCTTGCTATTGTAAACATTTGCCAGACTCTCATATTTCGCCCTTCATCGTCATCATCCATCCCAATTTAATACACCCGATTTATAATCTTGATTTAAAATTCTTTTCGCCTTTCTGTGCCTCTATGCCGCGCGAAAATGTCATAAAATAAATTCTCATACCTCTCACTCGCTCTCATATTGCTGGGAGAGTAGTTAAAAGTCTCAAGTAATACACGCAATGTGGACAGATGATTCATATTACTCGCATAATTCAGTTAGTGCTTTACTCTCATTCTCAACAAAAATAAAATAAAAAGTAGTAGTTAATAATACAGGAATACGACGACGACGAAAGACCTCAAATATTTTAAGTGCGATATTATTGTGCTTGTTGTGTGATGACCTTCAATTGCTGAACTTCTTTGTCAGTGATCATAACTTACATAAAATATTAAGTGACATACTGTGTGTGCTATAATACCTTTATACTTTTTTTTTTATCTAATTACAGATTAACATTTTATTATTGCTAACAAGTAGATATAAAAAAAAAGGCTAAGCTAAGCTATTAAAGATATTTTTTGCTCCCAATTAGTTCTCATTATAAATATATAAAAAAAAATACGAGAAACGAAGAAGAAAAATTGCTAAAATTAAAAAAAAAAAACAGGCAAGACAAAAAAAAATTATTAAAGTTCAGAAAAAAGAAAGAAAGAAAGACGTTCACAGAAAACAGATATATTAAGTGAAGAATAGACTGATTTACATTTCAATCAAAACATAACACAAACATAAAAAATCTGCTCTTTTTACTCTAAAAAATTAAGATGTGAGTATAACTTAATGTCGTGCTGTGATGAATTAAATTTAATTAACATTATTTACTTTATAAATTTACTCTGTCGTTCAGTTCATGCATAAATTCTAATTTACGCTCTCTATACGTTTAGAAATCAACAGCAAACTGAAGGAATGGCACCTACCACAACTATTGAAACAATAACAATCACACGACCCTTAAAAGTCATTGCATTCATATGTGGAATTATCGTAGTAGTATTAATGCTTATGGCACTTACATCCACTGATTGGCTTTTATCATCAGGCTGGCGACAAGGACTTTTTGTACATTGCATATCAGACGATGCTGAACTACCGCTTCCATTTAACTTAGATCAGCAATTAGGACAGTGTTTTGATAGTCGAGATAAATGTGAGTCATATTGATAAGCATTATCATGATCAATTATCCTAATTTTATTCCTTAATTCCTTCTTCTAGTTTATATTAAAGCCACAGCTATCCTTTGCGTGATTACATTAATTACAGATGCTATTGCGACAATCCTTACTGGATTTGGCTTAAAGACGCTAGAGGCCAATTTAAAATACAAATTTTATCGCATTGCAGTCCTAGTAATGATCGTGTCGCTTCTGTCGTTGCTTGTGGCACTTATTCTTTATCCAGTGTGCTTTGCAACCGAGCTATCGCAAGGAAACAGAACGGTTTGGGAGTTTGGATGGGCTTATGGTGTTGGTATGTATTATTGATTTATTTAATTATTTAAAGTCTTTGTGGCTAATCAAGTATATCCTGTCTGGGTTCATACTAATGTAAACTGAAAATCAGGTGTAGCTGAGAAACCGGTTGTTAAATTATCGATCTATATATATTAGACATTTTATCAGTGAACCGAAAAGTTTCTTGTGATCGATTAGTCTGAATTCCTATGTCTTGCTGACAATTTTTTTTTTTACAAAATTTCTCTCATTTTTAGGATGGGGAGCAGCAATCTTTCTCTTCGGTGCAGTCGTTCTTCTCCTCTGTGATAAGGAATCAGAGGAGATTTACTACAAAGAACGAAAAATTGTTCATGAAGCGTCAGCGATCCGCGATTAGAAATCATTTAGGTCCCTGCCAGATATCGTATGTTGATTTGTCAATTCGATTTTACAATAATTAACATAAGAAACAAACAAATTGACATCAAGAGACGCCTTTTACTTTGATTATTTTTTATCTGCGATTGAAGATTTTTAACTCTGAGTTTTCGATGGAAATGCAAAAACAAAATAACAAATTTATGTGAAACGATCAAAATTTTTGTGTGTGATTGAAATTTTTTTTTTGAGGAGAAATGAAGAAAAATTTGTGAACAAGTGCTGAAAAGAATAATTTAAGACATCACAAAAAAGAGAAGAAAAAAAAAAGAAATTTTAGACAAAACATTTGTGCAACAATTGAATCTCGGACTGAGCCTTTTCGAAATATTCTCCACACTCAATCGAAAATCTTACTTAATTGCGCGATAAAAAATATCGACAGCGTGGGGCAGGGCCTGTAAATTTTAAATAAATATGATAACAAAAATCAATTCAATAAGGAGAAAAAGAAAAATATTTTACATAGAAAAAATAAATCAAAATTTACTTTATCTTTTAAAAAAGTATAAATTAACAATTTCAAGTGAATGAGCGACGCAGTGAAGTGAAATGATCAAATAGATTATTAAAGAAATCGATTGTATCGATTCAGAGAAGAATTCCAAGGAGGATTAATGATCTGATGATCAGGTGATATTTGAGATAGGGGCCGTTCACTTATTACGTTCGCATTTTAGGGGGGGGGGGGGGTAAATTTTCCACCTTTTTAATGATAAAATAAATTATGAACGTTCTGGGGGGGGGGGGGGGGGGGTTGTGAGTTGTAACATATTGTAACAAGGGGGGAGGGGGGTGAAAAAAGTGTTTTTTTTGCGTAACGTAATAAGTGAACGACTCCATAGATTATTGATATTTTTGTTGTGTTGACATGATTATTAAGCCAGATCTTTGTGAATGACTGAAAACCAAAGTTAAGATTAAATTCTTATCGAATAAAGGGATCTACAACTAAGCCTTACGATTGATAACAAATCAAGCTTATTATGCAAAAAGATTTCATCAACTATCCATTTACTCGCTTACAAGATTGATCTTTAAGTCGAAATTGACTTCAAATTATACAACCTGTTTCACTAAAGTGGATTATCTTCGATTTCGGATTATCCTCTTCAGTTTTTTGCAAATATCTTAAACTTTATGGGAGGTGTGGTATTTCTAATTTTGGATTGTAATAGAGTGAACTATGCCTGAAATTTCTGTACACTTTAAACTTTTGCTTTTCGTTAAGAAGTATTAATTATTCAATTTTCTAGCCAAATCTAGGATATTAACTTCGATTTTTGCTATAATTCTCAAACTAATGAAGATATAAAAATTCTAAGTATATGTTAATTTAAGTAGCAAAGTACTCTAACTAGATCACACATTAGATTTCTTAATAACCTTAAGCGCCTGGAGATATTTCAAAAAAACTGAAGTGGATAATCCGAAATCGAGGATAATCCACTTTAGTGAAACAGACCGATAGATTTCCGATGTCTCGTGACAAAGTTATCTATAGCACAAGCTCTTGACAACAAAAATAAGATCGAGACATTGAGAATCTACACTTCGAGTCACAAATTTGATCAAAACTAGCCTTATCTCAAGAGTTTTTGATACAAACCAGCTGTCAGACTGATAGTAAATTCTTTAATAAAACCTCAACAAGTTTGATGTTAAAATTGTTATCTCAAGTATCAATCAAATAAAATCTTAAAGTAATTCTACCTTGGAAGATATCAAATAACGAATTTAAAACCACTAGAATTGTTCACTGAGTCGCTCAAAGGCTTGAAATATGAAACTAATGTCATAGGATGACGCCAATTAATTTGAAATGTGAAATCAATTTGAAGATAAAAATGATGAAGTAGAAATTTGTAGTCAATATTATTAAACATGATGAAAAAAAAACAAGAATCGGATATAAATAATAATAATAATAATTTTCATCAATATGGGTACCAATTACTGTGTAAAAATTAAGTGAAAAATGACGAGATGACTTTTCTCTCTCTTTCTCTCTCTCTACAATATTATATTTTTTCCTTTAATCCTAATTATGTAGCATTTTACTACCCCCTCAAAAAAAAAAAGATTTCTATCTCTTCTATTTATATCTCTTGTATTTATACAGAAAAAAACAACATTTTTTGCATGAAATCTCGACTTTCTCATGATATACATGTATGAAGAAAGACAGAAACATGATGTGAAGAACAAAAAAAATAATTGCACAATTTATTTGACTAATAATAGGGTTTAAATTAAATGAAATAGATATTATACATATATGAATGAAGATGTTAATATATACAAATGCATAATCGTAGATACATTATTTATTCATGTTTCCACGCATAAGCAGCAGCATTAATTTATACCCGTTTTTTCTCAGCATCATACACAATATCAAAAGAATATTATACGCAACAGATATACACTTCTTTTTACTAAACATGCTCTCAACTATTCAACAAGTTTATGTGTTTTTTCTCAAAACTGCAATATTAACAGACTTTTCTGTGTTAGAATCTACAATTGATATTTAATTATTATTATGCAAACCAAATAATCGTAGAGCTGGATTGTTCGTGAATTACATTTGCAATGTTTTGATTTTGAACCTACTCATCCCCTTAAATCCTTACAGGCTTTAGCCTGTATTCATAGACTGGTAACAATCAAGAAATATCTGAGGATATATAGACTTTTCGAAGAATTCATTTTAAAATCATAGGTTCAAACCCTAATTTAGTAGATCTTGTACCAAAACCACGTAAAGAATGTTAATTCCGAACAAGCTCCTAAAAGAGGGAGTGCGAAAATTCCAAAATAAAATATGTAAAGTTCTTCCAAAATTTACTGCCAATCCAAACAAAGAAAAATAATCTCATGACCTACATTAGCTTGAAAAAATCATCTCAATTGCAATTCGACAACCAATTTTTATTAATTAAATCAAGGACTTACAAATTTGAAAAGAAAAAAGAATCGCAAAAACCGAAACTTATGTTTTCGTTTTTTCTATAAATATACACCTAAAGACAGACAACTGTTTTCTTACGGATTCTCGCTCCCTTGATAATGGCTATATATATATATATACATAAAAAAATTAATTTCGTCCAAATTCATTCATAAAATTGATTAATTAATCCGTCTTTTTACTTTAATCGATATTACAGCAGTGTTGTTGATTTAGAATGGATCTAAAAAAATGACACTGGATATTAGACACAAATGCAAGAAAAAAATCTCAAAAATATGTATTCAATAAATTTTCCTATGTATTTCAATCCTCAATTTATAATAATTTCTCATAAAAAAATTGTTATTGCATCAAAAGTTTCTTTTCCTTTTTAGCATCATGAAGAAAAAAAAATCAAAAAATTAAAATCATTTTAAGCTAATTAAATAATATATATATATTAACATATTGAATTGATATTTATATAAAGAAAAGAAGAATATTATAAATTTTCATTATTATAAGAAGATTTATTAAAGATGATAGTTTAGTGTTTTTTATGGAAGAAATTCATTCATAAACTAAAACAGCATTCGAAGTTTTTCTCATTGTCAAATTGAAAATGATAAAGAAAAAAAATTATGTTCCTAATTTAAGAGAGAATGTGACAGAATCAAAAAGAAGAGAAGCTTAAAAATTATTTGAAATGTTTATTAGCTGCTAAAGTTGATTAAAATTGATCGGTTGTGCTTAAAATCCTTACAAATTCGGGAAACATTTATACAGTTTTAATTTTGGAAACTATTGTAAGGTTTTAAGATTCAAATTTTAAAAAATGTTCGTTAAAATATGTCAATTATACAGTTTTGAACAAGCTGTTGTAAGGTTTTGAATTCAAATTTTAGAAATTCGTTAACTTTTGTTAAACTGTTGTACGGTTTCCAATGAAAAGAACTCGTCAATTGATTTTAATCAACTTTATGGCCTGAAAATGATACTTTTGTTTGGCGTGTGTACTATTAAAACTAAATGAAAGAAGATATAATATTTGAAAGACAGTATGTTCCATCCATGAAGAGTAGCAAGAGAATATATATGAGTTGTAATAAGAAACAACAGGTAGCTTCCTTTTTGAACCTTCTTCATACAAGCATTTTATTATTTTTAATCTTTTCCAAAAAAAAAATTCTCAATTTGTCTTATTTTCCTTATTTTTTTCTCATTCATTTATTATTCATTCATGTGAATAATATTTGTGAAACATTATTAATTTAAACGTGAAAAAAAAATTGAAAAAGAATGAAAAAAATAATAAAAAAAAGTGGAAAAAATAAATACACAATTTTCTTTTAATTTTCCTTTAAATCTTTTTCTTTCTTTTTTTCTATGAATGAAGTCAATGAATCTTATTTTCATGCACATGTGAAGAAAGGAGTAGTTTACAACAACATAAAATTCACACGTTTTCTACAGCATCAAACTGAAATTAAAACTAGAATTAGCGATGCATTTGCAGGAGGATGAAAATTTATTTAATCGTCACTTGTGTATTATATTTGGGTTTTCCGTGAGTGAACGGCAGATATCTATGTTTTATCATATGCTTAATCTGTCTCTTCATCGTTATACAAAATAGCGTTATAAAGTACATGACGAGAATTGGCCAAAACACCGGCACATTAAATACGTCAAAGAATGTGCATACAATGGCGATTGTTGTCGATTTTGTAATTGCATACCAAAATTTGAATTCTGGAAGTCGGCGAATGAATGGTCTAAACTCTTCATTGCTTCTCGTCGGTAGTTCTGGACCGTCGTGATCATCTACAAAGAAAATAAATCATATACATTAATTACAAACACACAACAAGCAATTTAGTTGACTTACCAGAATCAAGATCTAGTCCTGGATCAATTTTTGGTGTGAGAAAGGCAATGAACAGATTGAGATGATAAATACCAAGAGCATAAGTTATAATATACCAGCCTTGCACTGTAATTATTCTAGCCAGGAATAATCCTAAATTTACAAACGCGAGAATCCATCTCGTTTTCGCATGTGGTGTGCTCTTATCTACAAATACAAAAAAAGAAAGCGATTACAGACATAAGTATGACTCATTAGACATTGACCGATTAGACAGATAATGACATTAGTAGTACTTATCTGTTATTTGAACAGATATGCTGGCATCAGAATATTTTTTTACAGACAGTGAACCCAGGAAAAAGGTATTAGACCACAAAACATGACTTTAATACACGACAATTTGCATACACAACAAGTTGCTGAAAAGCCCAATAATTGCAAAATCATTGTAAATTTAATATGTGTAGATAGTCATGAGATATTCATATATAGGTAATCACAATCCCGTTAATATGACATTGAGAATTTTCTTTGAGTTTCTAAGTTGCTTAATAAATTTTTAATTGTGGAAATTTCAGAATATCCGCTTGTCTTATATTCTCAATGACAACCATACATACATAGTGAATGACTTAAAATCATGTTGAAGCAATTTAGTTCTGCTGGATTTACTGTCGTTATCTACTTTTAATTGTGTCTAATAAACTCGACAAGATATTTGCTTACCTAAAAGTGATTGATAACGTTGACTTAGTCGCAGAAAGAAAGTTGACACAGCACCTCTTGCTGGTGGACTTGATAAATCATCCATTTATGTAATTTAATTTAATTAAACTCGATTTTTAAAGACTTTACACGAACTTAGAAATTTTTTCTGGATTAATTTTACCGAATAATGCAAAAATACTGTCAATTTGTAAGAACTTATAATGGATATCACTGAGTCTATAGTTATTATTTGATAGTAAGCTATTGAAGCTGTCAAAAAGTCCCAGAAAGGCGATGAGAAATAAAATTTTATTTTTTTGTACACATCACGAATTTGTCTTCTAAAGAGTAAGTCACCATATATCTGGACATTCCTTTACTTGAGCATTTTTCGAGCTTTATTTCAATCACTGGCTTTTCTTTATGTTTATTACTATTACGTTATCACTTTATTATACTCCGGAAACTAGTATTATGTCGAGATATTAATTATTTTAAATGAAATATTATTTTGACGTATGACGGGCCGTGAAACTATTCAAGACAAAGTCCAATTTTTCTATGGAAGTTCTACGCGCGGCAGTTTTAAGTTGATTTTAAAAAAATGGAAAGTGAAAATTGCGAGCTTTCTGATCAAAATGCAGTTAATTTAACTATATCAAAGGCAGAAGCACGAAGAAGAAGGATCCTAGAGAACAGTAATAATCGTCTTGGTAAAATTACAGGACGGGTTCACAATGAAGGTATTAAATAATTTAAAAATTGTGAAATGTCAAGAAAAAACATGACATTTAAAACTTAATTTACTTTAAGAACTACCAAAAGTTGAGGTAATTGAGACCAATGGACTATATCCTGATCCAGATTTTGAACGAGACGTTTTTGAGGCATCGAGTAGTTTAAATCCTAGCAATAATCAAGATGTTTTTGAGTTATTAAAGACATTACAGCAAGATAAAAACATTACATCCGAAGAATCACAACAACAACAACAACAGTCACAAGTTCCACAAAGTCCTGTATCTAAATTCATCAGATCAAAATACCCAATAATCATCGCAGCATTACTAGTTTATGCTCTATTTGCATTAAGAATGGATAAATTAATTGGAAGTTCAGTCTTCATCTTGTTAATTTTATGGGAAGTTTTTGAGTTCACTATGACTACATTCATCATTAAAGACCCAACGCAGCAGAATCAATTTACCGTACTAATTGGCATGTTCCTTGGTCTCGATGCACGCGCTATTCAGATTCTAATGAAAGTACTCGGATTATTTAACAAAATTCTTCGTGATATTGCTACATTTTTATTCACATTCGTTTTTGCCCATTTATTTTATAGCTATACAATTACTGGTGAAAGTTTAAGCGAAATCTTAGATAAAGATTTCAATAATTTATTAGCAAAAGATGAGCTATAAATCATATGTACATGAAGTTTTAACAAAAATAATAAAAAGTTTGATAATGAATGAAACAGAAATTAACGAACTTTTCAATTTTGAATATTCAATTATCACCAACCGTCATTAAGTTTTTAAAGATTTTTGAAAGTTATTTGAGTCACCTTATCATAAAGCGCATTATTAAAATCTCAAAAAAGTTTAATTATTTCTTTTCCTAAATCTGATCTTTGTTTTTGCTGGATATGAAGGATATTTACCTGAAACGGGTTTTCAAATGCTACAAAAAAAGTACTGAAAAAATAAATTTCTAAATGGCTCCTTAGGTAGCTATTAAATACAGATTTTCAATTAATAAACAAAACATAGGTTTCAATACAACATAATAAAAGTATGTACCAAAAAGGATATTTGACAAACTGACAACTTATCTCGAGAAAAAGCGCTAAAGACTCGAAAAAAACTAAAAAAAATTTAAACTCTCAAAAAAACACATTTTTTGTGTGAATTAAATAGTTTTATGTCTAATATTAAGAAGTAAATACATGCTTAAAGTGTAAAGATCAATAAATAATATGGTAATGAGTTCCGAAACGAAAGAAGTTAAAGAATTAAATGGTAAAAAATCATCGTCCACAAATTCGCCATTAAATTCGAGCACAAAGCCAGTTGAGACATCTCCAGAGACGTCTGACGATGATAGCCGTAAGTTGTGACTCTTATTTCAACATCCAGCTGCATCATTTAATGATTTTTATTGTTTTTTCAACATCCTATTGTTTAGTTTCCAAAAAGAATCTCAATAAATCCAAGAATAATGGCAAAAGTGAATTTGAGGGTAAGTTCCTTGTTCCTTAATTTCTCATCATCATAGTGTATTTATCTGCATAGCGTGCATGTATGAAAAACGTCAGAATATTCGTGCTTTCAACCAGCCTAAAATTTATTGATTTTAATGTTCTTCAATAACATTTGTGGACAGTCCAAACAGCATCCACTGATCATGTTTTATGATTCCTTTTCATAACTATATAACGTGAGAGCTTTTTTTTCTTCTCATTCTTCTCTTTGCTCAGTGCTTGTGGCTGACGGAAACGAATTTATAATGCACAGTTTAAAATCAAATATTAGTAACAGTCAAAAAGTTTTTGAAAAAAAAACATAAATTTCAAAATTAGAAAATAACGGTCAAATAGCTTAGTTTTACTTTGGTATGTTGAGCTAGAAATAATGGTGTTGTAGATGACGTGATAGACGTTGAGTAACGTTATGCTTGAAATTTTTACATGAACAGTAAGCATTAATTCTCAACAACTTTGTGTTTCATTTTGTACAGAAAAAATTCGCGTAGGTAAAGACTTTCAAGCTACAGTTCCTGACCTTAATCCAAAAAAAGGTGATGGATACACAGAGAAAGCTCTATTAGTTTGGTCACCAGCAAAAGATATACCAGAAAATAAAATCGAGGAATACGTTGACCTTGCTAACGTGCGTTATGGCTATAATACTGAACAAGCTTTAGGCATGTTATTCTGGCATAAACATGATTTAGAGAAAGCACTGCTGGATTTAGGCAATTTCACACCATTTCCTGAGGAGTGGTCCAAAGAAGATAAGGTCCTTTTTGAGCAAGCTTTCCAATTTCACGGAAAATGTTTTCATCGCATACGACAAATGGTAAGTGGATAATCCTCAATTTTAAGTCATAAGGATTTAAACAATAAAATCAACACACAGCTTCCTGACAAATCAATCGCCAGCCTCGTAAGATATTATTATTCATGGAAAAAGACGAGGCATCGTACAAGCATTATGGATCGTCAGGAAAAGCGCAAGAATGATGGAATTGAGAACGGAAATGATGATGACTTGTCTGAGAATTCTGATGTAGAAGATAAGGTGAGTTAATTTGTTCCTTAAATCCAGATAGTTTGTACAGCATTTTTAATACCTTATGATATAAAAATCTCCATCAATCTCTTGCTCTTAAATGTGCGACATGATTTCTAATTCTGATTAAAATCAAATATTTAGAAATTTTCGAGGCCTATTCGTGGAATTCAAAGGACTAGTCGTTCTCCAACTCGAACAATCGTGTCCAATTTAAATGCCGATAATATATCGTCAAAAATCTCTTCCGCAAAAGTTCAGGTGCTTGCGATAAATTCATTCAAATTGTCTATTCATACATTTTCTTTTATAAGTACATCACTAATATATAATTACAAGTATTATAAGTACATTGATATCTTTTTTTGGTTCTGTTTCAAAATCATTTATTATATTATATCATATACTTCTCATCCTCTATACACACTAAGAAAATAATTATATAAAATTATGTGTTATGCTTAATAGACGACATCTATTCCTAATTTTAAGCGCACATCTTATTTCATGCATACAATTAACTTTCTTGCCTTAATAACTTTTTTTATAATTTTTTTCCAACAAAATTGGCAATATTAATGTTTTATCACACTTTTAATGTTTTATCGTGCTTTTCAATTTTGTGACTAAATCTTTTTTTTTTTGGATTTTTAACGTTTACAAAATATTTAAATTTTAACGGGTTTCAAAAACTTGAATTTCAAGTCATTTTAGATTTTGAACTTTTCAAATTTATTATGACTTGAAATTTGAAATATTTTTGGTCGTTAAAAATCAAAAAATAATTTAATCACTTAAAGTAAGCAAATTTGTATTACATCCATATTACTGTTCTTAAATAATTGTTCCCTGATTTTAAACTGATTTTCTCTATCTTTCTCGCTCGTCTCTACTTAATCTCATCCATTGAAAAATATTCTTGAATTATATTGATGGCTAATCCGCATGATAGGATATTAAAAGAGTAACTGGAATTAATAGAATTGAAAATAAGGATACCGGATATTCATCATCGTCATCTTCCTCAAATGGAATTTCAAAGCTATCATCACTTAATTGTCAGAACTGTAAAGTCTTATGTAATGAGCTTAAACCAACGACTTCTGGAAGTTTCTGTTCCAGTTGTTTTCAACATTGGAGGTACAAATATTGAAATTTTTCCCCCTCTTCTTTTTTTTGGACTTGTTTCTTATTTTGCACTCATTTCGTAGACGTACTGGTGAATTGAGACCTATTTCCGGACCAAATGTTCAACGTCCACGTTCAAAAACAAACAAATTATATTATTATCAAGGCTATCACGACGGGTCTATAAAATATAAAAGGAAGCCACCAAAAGGGATGTACATAAATCATGACGATGTCTTAAAACTAGCTGCACAAGAACTTAATGAAAAAATGACGCCTCGCAAACAACCAGTTCCACCTAAATTTGATCTCTTGGCTGAGACTGATCGAGAAATCGGTGTCCTATATAGTCAAGTAAGAACTGATGTACTTACTTCTAATACTTTTTATTTAACTCTTTCTCTCTCTATCTCTATTTTTTGTGTATCCACTCCACCCCCAAAAAATAAAACCACGTCTGTAGATTCAAGCAAATAAGCAAAAAATTAGTTGTATGAAATCGAACAATGAGTCTTTCCACGATACTCGACAAGCTGAGGAAGCTGCTCTGAGTCGTGTTAATATAAGATGGACTAAAGATGAATTAGCACTTGCTATTATGGGATTTCGTAAATTCGGTCAGAACTTTAAGGTAAAACATACATTTTATTGCCTCAAATTTATTGAAAGGTTAGTTAATCGAGATATTTTCAATTAATCGTAGGCCATTGCTGAAGTAATTTCAACAAAATCAGAATCACATGTTCGTAAATTTTTCATTAAGTCTCGTAAAAGTCGTAACTTGGACACAGTGTGTCAAGAAGCTACTTCCTCATCAGCACAACAACAGAGCAATAGTAATGATGGAGAAACAAAGCAAGATAATAGTATTGAGATCATGGAGGTTGTTAGTTGACTTTTTTTTAATTTATTGAATAGCTAATAGCAAGCATTAAGCTTGCATTAATTCTGAACAATTTAAATTAATTCTTATTTTTTGATAATGCAGATTGACTCGGATGATGACATGAAGATTGAACATGTCGAGAACGGTAACAATACAGGAAATAATGGAATGAATGGCACTACGAATGAAGAGAATAATGTAAAAGTTCAGGGAAAGGCGAGTATTGTGCTGGTCAATACGGCAAAGTCACTGAAACGTAAACATGATAATGACGCTGATAAAAGTAACTCAACTGATGTTTTGGACGACGAAGGTGCTCAAAAAAAGTTTGCACCATTCTTAGGCGATAAGAACGAAATTACAATAACTCCAATTAGAAAAATATCTGCTGATGATAAGCAAAATGCAAGTGTTGCTTGAAAGTCGTGAAAACTCTTCATTTACTTCATATATTTTCCATAACATTTGCGATTTCGTATTAGTTAAATTTCTTTTTATATTTACATACCTAAGTTAGTAATCATAATTAAAGTAATAATCCTTGGCTTTCTTCAAAATGTGAAATTTTGATCAATCAATTCAGATTTGAGAAGAATAATGTGAGAAAATAAATATAATTGAAATGTGAAATAACTTATAGAATAAACATTTGAATGATTTTTTTCATTGAATTATGCTCTTTTTTCTTGCATGACTTTTCAGGTTCCGCAAAAATGAAAAATTACTGAATACAGATTTTAAATGATTTTTGAAAATTCAAAAAATAACCGTCTTTATAATTTGAACTTAGAAATTTCAGGAAATTCAAAATTTACAAGTCGTTGAACATATTCATCAACAGCTGCAAAGTCAAGTAAAATTATAAAGAGTAGCTCATTAACAGGACAAAAAGGTGACAACGAGCAGTCATTAATAAAAGATTAAGTAATTAAGTGATAAAAGTCAATTTCCAAGACCGCAGACAGAAGTACTTTAATTAAATGTCAACAAGCAGTGGCTCGAGGCTTGTAATGTTAATAAACAAGTAATAAACATGCCCAAATTTAGTATGACTGTGAAGTTTCAGGGATATGAGTTTATGGCACGAAAATTTCTCCAATTAAATGTTTATTGCAGAATTTATTACAGGTATTTTGAGGTAATGTGTCTACATCAAATGGAGAGCGATTAACGAAGAGTATGGATATGCTATGGACCAAATAAGGAGCTGAAAGATTTTATTTACCTACTTATCATTATGATGGTTAAAAGCTGTTCAGAACGCTTTCCAGATTTTTAAAAATTATCCTGGAATATTCCAAGTATTCCAGTTGAAAATTGATTTTTTGAAAACCGTTGATTTGTAAAAATCAAAGAATCAAATTTTGAGTCAGACTTAAAATTTTATGTAATAGAGCAACAACAGATACGATTCAACTTCTTAACGATTAATTTACTGGCATGGATTAGTAAAAATTGATAAGACTTGTCACAAAAAAAGCTGAAAATTAGAAATTAAAGCAAAAGAAGTGACTATTTTTCTATAAAGAATGTTGATATTTCATTTTTATTATAATGCATCAAAAAGAGAAGGAATTTTTAACAATACAAAAATTTCAGTTCTTAAAATGTAATTAAACAAGTTAGTAAAAAATACCATTTTTTTCAATATATTATAAAATTATAATCGTAATAAAAAGTATGTGTGTGTGTATTGTAAGCGATTGTCCCTTCCTTGTAAAAAAATGTTGAGGATTATCGGGAAAATGCTGCCAACCTCGATAATCACTATTAATCGACATAATTTTTTCAAAATGGAACTTAAGTAAATGTTTTTTGATTTTTTGTTTCATATTTTAATTAATTTTTATGTAAAAAATTAAGCAGAAACAAGAAGTAATAATGTAGATATATAAAAATGCATGTAGGCCTATAAATGTATCTAGTATATATGTATAAAATGACATTTTTTTCCCCATCGAGTTAGTCACTGTACCAAAATTTTTTTTCATCTCTCTTTTTTATTGAATTGGTTAATTGATTAACATTATATTGTTATTATTTTTTTATAATTATTTGCTTTTGCAGTTTAAATATAAAGATATACAAAAAATTTCTTTCGATCCTTTTATGGAAGCTGTTTACGTCTATCATTTAAATTCAAATTTCAGCAAGTGAAAATAAAGGTTTTTAAAATTTTGAATTCGATTTTCGGAAATCGTAATTCAAATATATTTTGACATTCCTTTTTGAATTTTCAAAAACCCTTTAAAAACAAATTTTGATAGACGTAATTTATGATTAACCCTTTTTATTGTTGGCTCACTTATTAGGTTTCCCAATTCGCTTCTTGATAACTTTGAAGAATTTTCATGTTTCATTGAAATTTCAAAAATGGCACTTTACTAATAAACAAAAATACTTTCATGCATGACGCGAAACACATCTCCTTTGTGGCTCATTAAATGAACTCATGGAGCTTATTAAAAGGAATTCGTGAATAACTGAATTGTGGATTAAACATTTTTTTTAATGATAAATTCTCGCATTGTGAAAATTTATTAACTTTATAATTGGGAAACTTTTTCCTTAATTTTTCTTTTGATAAACAGAGAAATGCGCTAAATGAAAATGATAATAACTTTTTAATAATATTAAATAATAGTTTTATAAAAAAAAGGCTAGCTCCTTAGAACTTTTTCTTGTGCTTTCATTCAAGCTTTGATTCTTCACCATCCATCGATTCGTCTTGAATGGAACTATCGTCACTGCCGCGTTTGGGTGTTGATAGACGTCCCGCAGTACTGAAATTCATAGATGAGCTACCAGCGCCGCGTCTATAAAAATAGAATTAAGCATATTGATATATTTTAAAGCTGTCAAGCTATGAATGGTTTTCTTTTTTTGTTAAAAATGTTAAAAACGCTATGTATGTAGCATGCTTTATGATATATTTTAGTGCATTCTTGTCAGCAAATTTTTATTTATCTTGCTTGCTTTGCATTTTACAGCAACTTGGAAAAGCCAATGATATCACTGACGTAGTCATATGCTTTGTATGAGTCTTATGATTTTTATGTTAAATCTTGTGAATCATACTTTATGAAATCAAACATTGTTAGGTTTATCAATTAATTCGACAGAAAGCATGAATATTGGAACAACATGAATCAAAAAACGTTAAAATTTTGAATTCAAATTTGCAAAAGCCCTTAAAATTCAAATGTTTAAATCTCGTAAAAATCAATATTAATCTTTTATTAAAATCTCAATAATCAACAAATAATTGTTAAGTTTTACAAAAATGCACTAAAGTCATCCACCTCGATGACTCCTTTACTAGTTCTCATTAATTAATGATTGTTCATCTGTGTGTTTGTGTGAATATGCAAATTGGAATCATTAAAAATTAGTGTGACAATTAATTGTCATTGTTACAAATATAGAGATATGTGGAAAAAAAACTTCTGATGCACGTAGAAAACATCATAAATAAATTATACTTGTTGTATATATTTTCATTGTACATAAACGACATAAAGAAATAAAATAAAATAAAATATGGGCAACAAAATCATGGCTGTTGTTAGAGAGTAAAATCAAGCTTTAAATGGAAATTAATTAATGTCAAATATGTGGGATTTTCGAAAAGAAAAGAAAAAAAAACAAAATAAGAACATTTAGGAACTAAGAAAATCTCATTTTTTGTGTGTTAAACTAAAACTCGACAGACACTCAACAGAAATGAAATTTACCTTAATTTTTACTATATTTGGTCTATAAAGGAACTTAACTACGATAACTTTGTATGGTAATAATCTGTTTTATAAGTTAGATTTAAAGGAAGTTCAACAAAGATTCGTTCGTTTGTGTATAATTTTTGGAATGCTATATAAATTATCGTTTAACATTGTCAGTTCATCCTAGATTCATTTAAATTTATATTTGAGTTAATTTAATGCAAATGACGATGGATATTGAGAAGAAGAGATGAAAGAAGAACAAGAAGAAATTTTTCATGTGTAATATTGGCATAATTAAAATAAATGTTGATTCATCATGGTTTACTCATGATTCGGTTGTTTTTTTTTTACCGAATGACTCAAAATATTCGTATTGATCTCTCACCTTAATTTTGATTTCAATGTATTCAATTCGCGATTAAGTGATTCTTGTGATTCCAGCATATCCTCCATATCGCGTTGTGCTTTTCGCTTTTGTGTCTTTTCTTTCTGGATTTCTTCTTCGGCTTCATCAAGATTGCGTTTAAGTATCTTATTTCGGTTATTCAACTGGAATTGCCATTAAAATATTTTTATTACTCAATTGTCACAAAAATTGGATTTTGTTTGGTTTTAACGAATTATTAAAATTTGAATTTTTGAACTTCAAGCAAAATGTTAAAGTTCAAAATTTAAATTTCAAAAAGTGGTTAAAATTTGAATTTTAAATAGTCGTTAGATTTTACCTTTTCGATTTGTTCTTTATATGAGTCAGCATGTCTGCGCTCGTCTTCAATATTCATTGTCAATTCTTTAATTTTCTTCTCTAATTTGCGGTTGTTTTTCTGTTGGACTAGTCTCTCTTTAGCTTCATTTTCCAGTTGTTCTTCCAAATTACCGATCTTTGCTTCCAGAGCCGAGACTTGAGCCTTTATTTTTGTACGTTGCGTTGTTTCAATCTCTGCCAATTTTGCTTTTAAATCTTTATTTTGACGTTCGAGTAATGTTCTGGCATTTTCATGTTTCTGTGAATTTGACTTTTCTGTCGCCAATTCTGTTGTTACTTGTTCAATACTTAATTGAGCTTTACGATTACGATCGACAAGAATTTCTGAATTTGACTGTTCCTCTTCTAATTCCTCTTCGAGTGCAGCAATACGTGCTTCTAAACGTCTCTTTTCGTCAATCATTAAAGATCCTTTGCTTGAATTACTATTGATTTCTTCTTGTAGTTCATCACGTTCAGCCTCAGCAGCACGACGTGCCCTTTCGGAACTAGCTAAATCTTCAGTTAATTGTATGACTTCAGCCTCAAGCACTTTAATTTTTCGTTCAGCTTCTTTACTAAGCGCAGCAAGTTCCTCTTTAGCTGCCTTTGCATCCTCTGCCTCTCTAATGACATCTTTCATTTGTGCTTGAAGTTTCTTGGCTTGTTTCAAGGCATCCTCTTTAACTTTATTATTCATTTCTAATGTTGCTTCAACATCCTTTAAATCTCCTTCTAATTTTTTCTTAGCAGCAACAGCAGCTGTTCGTTGTTTCCTTTCTTCCTCAAGTTCTGTTTCTAAGTCACGCAATTGCTTCATTAATCCACGGCGTTTTTCTTCAGCTTGTTCCTCCTTTGCCTGTAAATCACGCTCGAATTGTGTACGAAGTGCTTGTGTATTTACCTCCAGACGTAACTTGGCATCTTCTGTGAGCTGTAAATCATCTTCTAATTCTTCATTTTGTGCCTTTAATTCAGCTAATTGACTCTCAAGTGCACGTTTTGCTTTCTCCAATTCGTGGACATTTTTATCGGCAGTTCCCTAAATTATTTTTTAAAAAAGTGAATCATAACATAAATTTACTATGAATCATTTGTTTAATTTCGTATGAATCTTACCTGATTGTTTGCCAATTCATCCAATTCATTTTGCAAGACTTTTCTTTTTGATTCCAAATCTTCAATCTTTTCATAAGCTTCATCAAGTTCGCGGGTAAGTGACAAGACTTTTGTTTCCTTTTCACGTGCGTCCCTTTCAGCAGCATCACGTTCTTGAGCATATTGTTCGCTGACAGCCTTTTCTTCAGATATAACTTTGTCAAAGACTTTTTGTTTTTTCTCCAATTCCAATACTTTTGTTCGTTGAGCTTCCAATTCAATTGTGGCATCTTCGAGCTCAGATTGGAGCTTCCTTTTGCTCTTATCGAGACGATCATTAGCGACTTGAAGTTCTTGTATTTGTCGTTGTAATGTTTCGACATCCTTGCTGAGTTTTTTCTTCGATTCTTCGAGTTCCTTGATGAAATCGGCTATAATTATGTTTTGTGATTAATTCCATTAGTCATAATAAATTAAATTTTAATTATCTTACATTCTTCGTCAGCTCTCTTCTTCATTTCTTGCATTTGGAACGTTAATTCAGACATTTTCTTTTCATATCCCTTTTTAGCTTCCATATCTTCCTCTAATTGCTCTTGTAATGCCTCTCTTTCACTTTCAAGTTGACGTAATTTAGAACTGAGAGCTAATTTTTGTCTGGTTTCTTCCTCAAGCAATTGCTGTGATTCTGATAATTGACTTTCGATAGTGCTGGCTGATTTTATAGCTGCTGATGCTTTTGTTTCTGCTTCTTCTAATTGCTGTGTCAAAGAGTCTGATTCTTGTTGCAATTTTGCCATTTTTTCTTGCATTTCTGATCTCATACGCTCAAGTTCTGCATATTTCATCTAATTTTGAATGAATTAAGAATTAAGCCGTTAGATAAAATTTTAAAAAATACCGAAAATAATTTCGAAATTTGAAATTACGTTGAAATTCAAAAGTTCGTTAAAATCTTACTTGAACTTCTGAGAACTGCTGTTCAGCCTGTTTACGCCGCCTATCATTTTCTTGACGCGATTGATTGACATTACGCAATTCTGTTGTTAAGTCAGCATTTTCTGCCTCGAGTGTTTGCTTTTGTTTTTCCAAGCCCATTTTAGTTTTTTTGAAATTCTCGAGCTGTTCATTGATTGTTGTCAATTCCTGTGTATGCTTATGACGCATATCTTGTAAGTGACTTTCATGATTACCCGTTTCCTCTTCGAGAGCTTTCTTTAACGACGCAACTTCTTGCTCTCGCTTTGAACGCAATTCTTGTTGTGCTGTAAAATTGATTGATGAAAATAAAAATTAATTAAAATATGAAATATTAATGAAAATTACCAGCAGTTGTATCTAAAGAATCAAGTAGTTCATTCTTAAGTGCCTCCAATTCTTCATTAAGATCGCGCTTCTGTTTTTCTGCCTTTGCACGAGCTGCCTTTTCAGCTTCTAAATCTTCTTGGATTTCAATTAATTGCGATTCCAATTCACGCTGTAATTTTTGTGCATTTGCTTTAGCGGCAGATTCCTCGTCGATTCTCAACAAAGTTGTTGTCAGTTCTTCCTCACGTTTAAGTAAATGTTGCTGAATTTCCTCAACTTGAATGCGTTTTTCATTTAATTGTTCCTTCAAATCAGCTACTTCTGACTCAATTTTTCGCTTAGTTCTATCCGATTCCTGTCTCTGCTGGTGATCCTTTCTTAAACGTTCTTCTAATTCAGCAATCGAAGCTTCATGTTTAACCTGGTTAAGAATTATAAAAAATAATTAAAATTAACGGATATTCAAAATTTGAAAAATAACGAAAGTTCGAAATTTAAATTAAAGTTCAAATTTTGAACCTTATTATCTTTGGCACCAAAAAAAGAGCCTATTAAAATAACGAATTTTAAAATTACGAAACTTCATTTTTACGAAGCTTCTTTTTTCCGAAAAATTCGGGGGGGGGGGGGGGGAGAGGGGGGTCAGCAAGAAAAGAACAAAAATGCTTAATAAACGGTTTTTTAAAATTTGAAAATCATATGGAATTGCATAATAAATATTATCTTTGGCACCAAAGAAAAATTAAGTTTCGTAATTTTAAAATTCGTTATTTTAATAGGGACTCCAAAAAAATTGAACAAACCTTTAATTTGGCTAAATGTTTGGCCTTTTCTTCCTCTTCGGCGAGAGTTTGTGATAAATCATTGGCACGTTCCTCGAGAACTTTCTTTTCCTTTAATAATTTCTGATTCTGGTCATCAGTTGATGCTAAATCCTCTTCGTACTTTTTAATCTTTCCATCAAGTTGTACTTTTTCAAGCTGTAACTTTTGTCTTGCTGCCTCTTCTTCTTCAAGCTGTTCCTCTAAATCCTGTATATTTGATTGTAATTTTTTCTTTTCATTATTAAGTGAAATAACCCTTTCTTCTTCCTCCTCGACACGTGTTTCTAAATCTTGCATCATTTCTTCTAGTTCTTGCTTTCTTGATGCCAAACGCATTCTACTCTCCTCAGCTTCAGCACATAATTCAATTTCAGCTTGTAATTGCTCAGCCAAGTGTGTCTTTTCTTCTATCGCATTTTGATACTTTTTCTCATAATCGGTAGTAGCTTTTGACAGACTATCCAATTTTTCGCGTATTTGACGCAATTCATCTTCTTTTTGAACGAGTTTTTCTTCTTGCTTTGTTACTTCCAATAATGGCTTTACTTTTGTATACAAACGCCACCATTGCCAGTTTCGCAATTTAAGATAAGCAGCACAATTACGTTGAATAATTCTGATGGCATTTAATTGCTGTAAACGTTTCTGATAATTTCTGCGTGCTAAAAATCCACGACAGAATGCTTGGAAGTTTACTATCAAATCGGTGATTTTATAGTCACGTTCTTCTTCAAGATGTGCCAAAACACCGGCTCGGAAAAAGATTTTAGACTGCCCAACACGGAATAAATTTCCATCAAGTTCAAGTGCTTGAATCATTTTTTCGCAAGCCTTCTTTCCATCCATAAAACCTTTTGGAATGACATTTGGTGTCAAGAGTTCATAACGTTGACGGAATTCTTGGAATGGAATCCTATTAGGGAAACCTTGACGGCAAATACGAATTCCTTCTAAAACCCCATTACAGCGCAATTGATCAAGTACAAGTTGTGCCTCAATTTTACCAGCACGCTTCTCATGATTCGGTAAAATACAACGAACAAAGTTTGGATTTGTATTTCTCAATGTATCCATCAATTTTGACAATTGTTCTTTATATAAATGTGAGACAGTTCTGAACATTCCTTTACGGGTTCGAGCTCCGAATTGTGTATCATTTAATGCAGATTGTTGTGCCATTCCGACTATTTCCGCATCTTTCCAGATTTGAATGACAAAAGGATCTTGTGAAGCTTGCAATAATTGCACAATATTCTCATTCAGTGGATCCATATTTTTCATTAACCACTTAGCAGCTGAATAGTCGACTTTGCCAGCATAATGAACAACTGCAAAATCGGCAACGCCACGAAAATCAGTTTTAACAAATTTCGGGTGTTGATGATGTGCTGTTGTCAATTTTTCAACGAATGACTTATCAGTTGCTTTCGGGAACCAACACTCTTCATCCAGATAAGCCATAATTCCGCCTGGTTTATCAATCAAATCAATTGTTGGCTGCAAGTCGAGACCAAAGTCGATAAATTTCCATTCGATTCCTTCACGCTGGTATTCTTCTTGCTCCAGAATAAACATTGTGTGATTGAAGAGCTGTTGTAACTTTTCATTAGTATAATTTATACAACTGTTGATGAAAAAAGAATGAAAAAAAATGTATGATAATTACTTCTTTTTAGCGCAATTATTGCTTAAAATTTCTACAGACTAGTTTCACGTCTTCAATAGTTTCTGTCTGCAAACTCTCAACATTGATGTCTGACTTGAAACAAAAACTTATCAAATTATTTTTCGTTTTCATTTTCAAGCGTCAAGCAAGCGATTTTAAAAGAAGGAATTTAAAATATTTTCGATGAGAGAATCATAAAAACATTTTTGCTAATAAATTTGATAATATTGGCCATATAAACTTGCTAATCATAACTATACCCTCATAAAAATATTAAAGTCGCCGAAAGCGGGGAACCTAAACGCAATTTCTGTTGATGAAAATTTGCTTTTAAACACTTTATATTCCTATTCATATTTTATAGCCGTGAATCTCTCGGAATAAGGCCATTTAATAGTTAAATTAAAAGCTATTTTTAATGCAATTTAGTCAGAATCTTGAAGTTAATCTAGGAAAAAGTAATAATTATGATTTTCTTATTTTCTTTCTATAGAACTGAAATATGGTATGAATCACTTAGTACACCTGACACATATGACGAAAATCATGAGACTAAAGATTTAAAATCTACTTACAGTTGTTCGAAAGAGTTGAGCTCAAAGATTTCAAAACCAGCCATATCGAGGATACCGATGAATGAAGCACCCTGACGCTTTGTCCTGTCAAGCGAGCGATTAATGCGATTCACGAGCCATTTGAAAAGTCTCTCATAGCAAGCCTTTCCAATTGCTTCAACAGCAAACTCGACTTGTTCTTTCGTTTGAGCTTTAGTAACGAAATCGCGTCCTACTTTAATGCGTGGCGTTAAGAATGCTTTTGTCATGTCAGTTACACTAAGTCCCAATAAATGAGCAATCTTTTGTGCAACAGTATTATCTGGTAATGTTGCTTGATCATTGTTTCGTTCTTGTTTGAATTTCATTGAGCCAAAGAGCAAAACAGCACTGACAATACGGAAAATGGAATTAAAGTCTTCGTTGGTCATTCCCATAATATTCATAGATTTGACTGTAGCTTGGAATTCTTGATAATCATCTACGCCAGCAACTGGCAGTACTCCATTTGATAAGAATGGATAACTCTTTATATCATCGAGGATGTATTTCTCACGTTGCTCAGCATTTGCTCCAGCAAGTAACTGATAAAAGATATGGAATGTTCTCTCATCCTTTGCTTGACGTATAGCTCTTGATTTTTCCAACAAATATGTCTCAATATTAGCACCAGAAATATAACCGGAAGCATCAAAGTTTATACGAATAAATTTACCCTATATTCAAATTAATTAAAATCCAGCTTTAATAATCAAATTATTATCATAATAATCTCATGTCGGACTTACAAATCTTGAAGAGTTGTCATTCTTAACAGTTTTAGCATTTCCAAATGCCTCGAGAATTGGATTAGCTTGAAGTAATTGTTGTTCCAACTCACCCTGTAAAATTTAAAGGAAATTAAATTTATCACTTTTTTCTCTTTATCACTCATTCCATAAATAATTATGAGTCATTATTAAATAAACATTTAAAAATGTGATAAACATGCATCGCAAAATGATAATATTTTCAAGATATATGGATGTGTGCATACGAAAATGAAAATATTGTAGGCAGGGTTTTGACCTCTGAAACCATATAAAAAGTTGTTCTCTCTACAGCGGTTTGTCAATTCTTTATGACTTTACACAAAATCCATGTAACTTGGCTGCATTAAGCTGCTCTTAGATTTAAATGAATTTATTTTATTTGCTAGAAAAATTACAAAAATTTTACTGCTTTTTGGAATTTGAATTACAATGATTTTCAAAAATTTGGAGTTTGAGCGAAATTTTGACACTTTTCAAATTCCATAAATCAGTTATAAACATCAAGTCAACGCCCAAAAATAAATTAACACATCAATTTGAATGAGACATGAAAATAGAAAAAGGCTAGCCTTGAAAAAGTTTAAATAAAATTTCTAAAACTTTTCCAGACACGAATCATTGAATGATGGACTGAATTTGCATGCCAAACATCCATATATCATGAGATTATTCTACGTCATAGAGACATACAATGAATGAATGAATGGAGACAAAACTAATGAGTAAGAAATATCTGCAATTGAAGGAATGCAATGGGGAACGACTAAATATAGACTAAATGTGTGTGTATACATAAAGGAATCATTAAATTGCACAGAGAAGAAAAAAAAAGTATCTAATTGAAAACAAATTGAGCGAGAATACAAAATAGGAAATGACAAATTGATATATATGCCTAAAACAATAATCATAAAAAAATATATAATTCTTTCGCATGCCTAATTGAATATCTCAATAATAAATAAAAGTTTATAGCCAAGCTCATATTGAGGATGTCTCTCAAAGAAGCAGATTCTAAGTGCAATCAACGTTTTTTTTTAGTTCTCTAAACTTGAAATGAAAACTTTATATATACATTACCGCAAATGTTGAGCCTGAACCCTGAATTTTCATTACAAACATATTTTTTTTTAATTTTATTTTTGGATTTGATTTATGTGTTAGCGATTTTCGGATAGAACAAAATGTTTTTTGGGAGTAAGGGAAGCAGATGAGAGAGAAAAAAATATAATAATAAAAAAAATTAGTAATCAAGTTTGAGCTAAACATTTGTTTTACTAATAACGGTAGAATGTGTAAAAAAAATTATAAAGAAAGTGAAAAGTCATGTCTACTTACAATTATCAATGCTGGACTTGGGCCCTATTGTTTGATGAGCATGTATGGAAAATGAATAAATAATTAGTATTGCAATGTTATGTCAATTTATCACACAATAGCTTACAGAAATGGAAGTTTTGGGCTTCGATGCAGCAACATATGCCAAATACTGTATGACTTTCTTTGTATTTTCTGTTTTGCCGGCACCCGACTCACCAGTACACAATATAGATTGATCTTCGCGATCTGGAAATAAAAAATGATACATTTTAATCTTTAATCCTTAGCAAAGTGCATGAAAGGTAATAAAAGAATAAATTATCGACATTAATGAAAACTTATCATCGCTTTTTAATTGAGCTTAGGCATTCAAATTAACTCAAATGAAATCATCGTCTTATTTTTCTTGCTCTAATATTGAAAATAAAACCATATGCTCGAATACACACAATATTCGGAAATTTAAAGATCAGCAAACTTTTTATTTAAAATATATATTTTCATCATCAGAAATAAAGGAATACTCAAATATTATTGAACGGTTGATGACTAATGCGCATTTCTGTCTGTATCGGTCAATGAAACTATTTACACAAGAGATTCCAATCCACAAAATCATCAAAAATTCGCGTCAGTTTTGGAATTTCGAATAACGGTTTCTCAAGTTTTCAATTTTAAAGGCTTTTTGACATTCAAATATTTTAAGGATTTTGAAAGATTCAATCAATTTTGACGGTTGATAATTGAAAAACTAGAATTTTGAAATACAGCTGTATAAAGCCTCTGCATTTTGCCAGAACATCGCAACGCCAATAAAAAAAAAATCACATTTGTTTCGCAGATCCAACACAAAAAAAAGAATCATTTTATCGAAAGAAATTCCATTTTGTGTATTATAAATTATTGACCTAAATGAGGATTGTATAAAAGCCATCGTGAATATTTGCATCAATCAACAAATAAAATAAAATTAAAGTTTCTTCAGCATTCGTTCAAGAGACTTATAATTGCTAGTGCATGTGATTGCGGCTCGATAATCAAAACGACGCACGAAGAAGAATCAGCGATGAAATAAGTAAAGGAGTAATGTATTTAATACTCTTAAAAGAGATTCAATGTGTTTTTCCTTCAACTCAATCTTTGTGCCTTAAACAATCCATCCACAATTGTGATGTATGCAAATGAGACGAGAAATAACTTTCTTTGAATGAAAGAAATATGAAGTTAAAATATGGAATTGAAAGCGGGAATGTATCATTCACAAGTTGTAGTTGAAGTTTCGTTGAAGAATTGGAATTAAATTGGTGAATTTTTTTTTATGTATGTAATCAATTATTAGACAAATAAGAGGCAAACTTACTCATTTGAATGGATTACAGTAAAGAAAAGGAACAAAATTTGCGAGAGAAAAAGTCGCTGACTTTTAATAATTGCCGAATGAATGGTTTAAAGGTAGAAATTGCCTGGTGCCTCGATTGTTGTGTCCAATACCATATTTGGCAGTATTTTCTGCTCAGTTGTTTTCGCCTTTTCTCGCTCATGACTGTGTTTCACACACAATATTTTTTTTTTCTCTTATTTTTTTTTCATATTATATAAACATAGCGAGGCATTCCGTAGCATTTTTTCATATTTAATTCCATCTTTGGTAATGTTTTATATTATCACAAGGAGCCTTCTCCTCTCCTTCTCATGCCCCTCGCCTCGCGCGTCAAGCTCAAGTCAATTTTTTATTTCGCTATTATAACTCATGTGTTTTTGTGCATTTGCGATTATTATTTCTCTATGAATGCTTTTAAGGTCGTCTACATTGTCGAAAGTCTTTTTAATCATTTTCTCTCTGTCTATCTATCTCTCTTCTTCTCATTGGAGACCCGACAATATCTCATTGATCGTGATTGACGAGAGGCTTTTTGTCATTTCGTTTTTAAAAGCTTTTACTAGACAAATTCATGATAGATGAAGACTTTAGAACTTTTAAAAGGTTGAAACTGGTTTTCGAACACACATATTACCGATCTCCTTTATCCCAAAAATTGCTTGTCAAAAAAATTTAACGGTTTTCAAAAATTTGAATATTTTGAACTTCAACATTGAACATAAAATTCAAAATTAATTCGACGGCTACAAAACTTTTCATCATTTTACTGACAGCACTTTAATAAAATATTTTTCTCATTTGAGTACGAAGAATTTATGCCTAATTTCTATTTCTTTCTTACGAAACCACATTACCAAAAATAAAATAAAATGTGTGTGTATGATCATTTTCAAGATCGAGATGTATGTTCATGATGGCGAATAATTGATTAATCGATGCCACAATATGACAACATAGCATATACAGCATATTTTCGAATAGATACTTATGTGACCGATATATTTCTGCGTTATGAACACATACACTTTTTTTTCGGGTTGAGTGAGAGGAAGCTGATGATTTAGTACTTTTTTTTTTTGAAACAACATTGAGATTCGATTGATTGATAAAATCGATACAATTGATGAAATTATAGTGAACGAATACTTAATGGACGTGTTATTAACGAAATGGTCGATTGTAGGTAAGGAATGAAGTAATGTGAATTAAAATCAAATGAAAAGTGATTAAAGTGTCATTACCTTGAAGCATAGATCGATAGGCTGTATCAGTTATGGCAAAAACATGTGGTGGAACTTCATGTCTTTTTATTCCCTTATATTTCTCCATAATTTTCTCGGTGTAAATGGGAAGCTTTTTGTATGGATTGACGACGACACAGAAAAGTCCTGAATAAGTCTGCAAATGGAAGAGGTTAAAGGTTTTTACTCAGCATAATATTCTAAACGTATTATTTACAAGCACAAAACTTGACTACCGGCTAACACACCCAGAGTTAAATCATTTAAAATTATGATAAAGCATTGAAGAAATTGATCCGCAAGCGACGTTTCAAAGAAAAGTAGACTTTTTATCATCATACGTCAAGCCTATATAGAGCGCGAACCTTGTGAATAATTTCTATGAATTTAATGTATACATTTTTAGGTAGCACAGCAATTTTTGCTATATTTTCCATTTAAATGAATTTATATACAATCTATCAAGTAGAAAATATCCATGCATGAAAAAAGTAATTCATTAAAAACACTTTGACTCATTTTAAAGTCATTTTTGCTTTGATAAGCCAAAATGAAACAATAATTAAATGTGAGTTGTTTTATTTCTATTTAGCAATAAATATGTTAATCAATTTAAAAAAAAAACGTTTATAGCGGCAAACTGAGTGTGTGTGTGGTAGGAAATTATTGCTTGTTGTAAAAAAAATGATTAACTTACATAAATCAATCCCGAATAATATCGATCTTTGATGTTGTGTAAAACAGAAGCTTCATTGAGGCACGTTAATTCGGCCATATCTTCTACTTTGTCAAATTTTGGCGGATTCATTTTTTGTATGTCATCTTTAAGGACCATATGGCGCTTGCCTGTTTCGGAAAGCTCAACTTCCACCTCATCTCCACGTTCACCTTTGATGCTGGCTGCAACAAATCCCTGGAAATAATTTTTTTTCGCATGATTTAACTATTTTTCTCATATTATTTAAGATTATTATGTGATAGAATCAATTGGTCTACTTTTATCAGTCCAAATTAAGAAATTTACACAACAGGTGTTTTTTTCTTCTCTTCTCTCGTCGATTGCATTTAAAATAATTTGTATGTCGCATTTATAATTGTGATAAACGTGCGAAAGCACTTCCAAAAAAAGAAATGTTAAACATGAAGAAAAAAAAACTTGCAAATGACATGAATATTAATAATCATAAATTCATTATTTTTTTTGTGTGTACATGTGTTCAAAATCACTTTATTAAATACATGTAAGTATCTATATAAATCAGATTTCTGAAACATGAGAAGTCAATAAAAATATGCAAAATGTGCACAAGGCAAAGCTTTTTTTTCCTTTGCTTTAAACCGAAATGCTTAGCTTGAATGCAAAATATGCTCGCGAGTATCTTGCCACAGTCAAATGGAGCGCTTATGGGGATTTTAAAATAATTCCTTCTAATTTAAGTTTCATAAAAAATTAATTTTTGAATAGATTTTCACAGTTTAAAGTTTAAGGGTTTTCAAAAATTCAAATGAATTGGAATGAAATGAACTTGATTGGGTTTCTGAACGATTTTGAATTTTAGCAGCTTTTAAAACAAAATTTAACGACATTATTAGAATTATTAATAGCTTTAAAAGCTCATTAAAGGTTCAAAATCCACTCGATCGATCATGAAAATTCAGCATGAACATCAGCAGTCAGCAAAAGTGAAGCAGTGCAATTGTTTATGCAAAAATGCAAAGAAAAGTAAAAAATATGTATCAAGTTAAAATTAAATAAAATGCTGTTGATATTCCGATACATGATTAATGCAATGAGAATGCGGTGCATTCAACAATGTAGTGGTTTTATTTTATTTATTTTTTTGCAAAGACTTCAACGAAAAAGAAAGAAACATTCGTTGTTTGTTGAAAAAAGAAGAAGAAAAACAGAAGGGTAAAGAAGAGTTTAATATTTTTTATGGAATGCCTAAAGTGATGTCATATTGAATACAGCAAACACTCATACATGCTCATAATTTAATGTGAAAAAAAATTAAGTCACTGTTTTTCAGTCTTTATCACAAAACACTTATTCGAAAGCCCGGGTATTACGCATTCCTGTTATTTTTAAAGACATTTTTTTTCATCCGACATACAAATATAATAACAACAAGAAAAAAAATACATAACACACGATATAAATTGAATTTATCTTAGAAAATAATATGCTCTTTCTGAGCATCACACAAAAACAAATATATATATAAGTCGGAAAGCGCATAAGATGGAACAATAAACTTGATTTTCAGGTTTTATTAATGATCATCATTTAAATGTCCACCTTATTATTGTTGTATGCAGATCATCGAATTTCTTTCTTTCTCCGGCGTGCACTTCTTTTTTTTACAATTTTTTCGATATCAATGCTAAATGCAATAATCTTGAACTTCTTGGTCTGTGTGAGACTTTTCATTTTCTGTTTTTAGCACTTTTTTCTATGACAATTTTTTACTTTTGTCAGCTGATGTCTGTTGGGGGAGTCATTAAACTTGACGATTTAGAATTGAAGAATCATTTACATTAAATGTGTCTTAAAGACAGTAAAACCGGTATCGTTTTTTTAGGAAAATCGCGTCACTTAAACAATAAATTCAGTAGATAAAAAGTTGCGTGAGTTAATGAATCATTTCACGAAAATACAATACGATTTGTAATAGCTACGGTTTTGTGGTCACATACAAAGATTTTCGCAAATGTTCATATCCTACAGATTCATCTGTGTTTCAGAAATGTGTCAAAACCTCATTGGAAATTTTATTGGAAGTCAAACTGTTGGAAAAAGACTTCCAATGAAAATTTTTAAATCCAAATTTCCATTAAATTCATTCAAAATAATTCCATTGGAATAAATTTTCTGGAAGCTTAAAAATATTTTCGAACCTAAAATGTCTGTTGATAAGCTTAAATCAAAAAAAAACGGAACTGAAGTCATTGATTTTCAGTGACTTTTTTACTAGTTTTCAAACACAGACAGAAGTGAAAAATGAGTGATAAGGCCGGGAAAAGATAACATAAGTGAGTGTCACACTGAGGCTATAAAAATATCATTATGCACATATTCATTCACCATTTGATCCATAAACAAACATTTAACAAGAAAATAATGTACGAAACTATATTTTGCCGATAAAATCGTGGATTTACGTTTCGAAAAGGCATAGAAAATTTCAATTCTTTTAATAATTTGTATATAGCGATTATTTCTTTAACGTTATTTTTCTCATTTTTTTTTTGTTATTTTTTCGCATTTGTATAAAAACTTTAAATAAATGGAAAAAGAGAAGAATAAGTAGAAAAATAAAATAAGATTGTTTTTTTCTGCGAAAGTAAGGTGACGGGTAAGTAACGACTGATGGTGACTCATATGAAAAAATTTACACTAATTTTGCTTTTTTTTTCTTCTCTTCTTTACACGACTGCCTGCTTCATCGTGAGTAAGTTTCCAGTAAATAATATATGTTTGATTATGAAACAGCGGTGTTGGAATTGAAGAAAAGAAAAGAAAAAAAAATGAGAGAAATAGGATCCTCCCTTATATTCATAATCTGCACATTAATGAAATGAACGACTGCGGTTAAAAGTCTAAATTCTTTTATTTTTCGTCTGAATGACTTATGTGACAGTTTTAAAAAGTTGTAGTTTTGTTATTACTATTTTATTATTGTAAATCTGTTGCTGCTGTGTACATCAACATAATGGCAATAATTTTGAATTGGAGCAGCTAACAATGAGTTGATTCACGATTTAAATACGCGGTCGGTCGTAGACGAAAAATAAAAATTGATCATCAGTCAGTCAAATAATCAGAAATTAATGAAAAGCGAATGAATTGGAATCAAGATTTAAGACATGATTGCATGATTAATGCTGATGATGATGATGAGAAGGAGAAATATATATATCCGCTGTGAAATTTTTCCACATTTTCATAGACTCGATTTTGTTTTTTGCAACTCGATTCTTATCTTTTTGCACACAATAAATAAAGGTAGAATAAGGCAGTCAGTCAGTCAATGTATGTGTGTAATGTTGGAGAGAATTAAAAATATGTGCATAAATTGGTTTGATGAATAAAGAACAATTTTAATGAGAAATGATGGAGCATGAGACTAACCTGCGTATCGGAAGGAACCCAAACTAGACGTTTTTGCGTCCATTCTGCTTGTGTCGCTGGATCATTGAAGTTACTTCTTTCCACACTTAAGCACTTTAACTCCGGGTCATTACGATTTAAATCCTCAGACATTTTCGATTACTTTTGTGTTTCACAATCTGTATTTATTATAAGTTATTTTAATTCTGCTTTAAAGCGACTCTTTTCTTTATGTTATGTTATTTTATTTATTTTTTTCTCGTCTATATTCTCTGAACTGTTGCTTGCTCAAAGAAAAAGAAATCCCACTTCACTTAAGTCAAGTCAAGAAATGTAAGAAAGACTCAGAACATACAAAAAAACTCTGGTTTGGATGAATCGTTTCTTATTCTTTTCTTTCTATTCCTTTTTTTTTTCTTGTGTATTTGTGTGAAGCCGAAATGTGAATTTTATTTCGATTAATTTACTCCAAACTTTATACTTTATCACTTAATTTAACTATCTTCTACTGTATAATGCCGAAATTAATATGTTGCGAGCGATTATAACAATACTATTTGAACGATTCCGCTTATAAATTTAAAATGAAATGCAAAGAGAGTTTGTAGCAACTCTTTCAAGTTTTTCTCATTGGATCGTCCCAAAAATCACAGTGATGTCACTAAATCCGAATTCCTTGTGCAATTATCAATCACTAATAGTGCCTTTAAATGTCTTTACAGCATGTATTTATGCTTAATTTGATAATTATTTAATATTTTAAAATTTCAAAAAATTCGTCTATTTTCACCGTTTTTTTTTTGTGTGACAAAATTTTCGAACATTCACTTAAAAAAGTCTCCCCAAATATGCTGCACGCGTTCAAAATGACAGTTATTTCAACAGCGAAACACCCATCCAAGCACATTTTTGCCAACTGACTCATACTCAATTCACCAATTAGGTACACATGTTCTCAATTGTTGATTTTTGAGTCGGCACTATGGGGAAAAATTGAAAAAAAGCGGCAATTGAGGAAATTTTTGAACTAAGGACATCAAAATTGACTTTTATGCCAAATTTCAGGTCATTTGATGCTGTTTTTACAATTCTGTGGCTGTTTAAAGTTGAAAATGAATGAAATTTTGATTTTTTAACGTCTTATTTAAACTGTCACATCTTTTTAATAGTAAAAGATATTAAGAAACGCTTTTCGGTTTCTAATAGTGTCATGTTAGAGCTTTGTGTTGATAATGTACAAAATTTGTAATTTAGTAGTTTTGGTACCAGTATGGGAAGAAATGTGTGAAAATTCTATGAAAAATATATTCAAGCATGCTGCAAAGATCTTAAATGGTTCACTTTTTAGTCATATAAGCACACTGTTTTATAGCCTCTGTCTTCTAATTTTCAAAAATGTATAAACATCAAAATTTGTTTGGTACACTTTTGAGATAAATCGATTTAAATAAGTAGTAGAATAATTCAACAAAAAATAAAATATCTTATAAAAGTTCCGAAACAACAACAACAAATGAGTTTTGTGTTATTTTTCGATGACGAACAATATTTAAAGACAAATTGTGAAGAAATTTTTTCAAAATCTCCCGAGATATAGGGTACTTTTCATATCTGACGACTTGTATGGTTTTCGCATCACTCAAACTACTCTTACTTTTGTGTACCTCAATACTTTTTAATTGTGTTTACAGTTTATTGTAGCTTAAGTCTAGACCTTTCTAAAAATATATAAAACTTTGTAGTTTAGTATTATCTTGGTCATGAATTCAGGACTTGTTTGTGAACGACCCTAAACTACAAAAAATCTCAAAAACGTCATTTCTAGAATCAATTATAAACAAAATTAAGTATTGTTTTTAGGTTTTTTATAATGATATATGATATTTATGACTATTTAAACTTAAAAAAGTGTCTTTCATATTTTTTTTTGCGATTTTTGTGTTTTTACCTATTCTGGTTGCGGTTCAGTATGTTTTTTGATTCACTCAAATGACTAGAACTTTTTTCATAATCTGTTTTCGATTATTGCTAGATTAAATCAATACCTTTAAAATGATGTATAATACTTCCTTGAAACTTTGTTGTAGTTACTCCTTGATTGCATTGAATGAGACCGACTCAAAGTGGTCTTTATCAAAACATTCAAAAATCACATGTTAACAGGCAAAAGTACTTACAACTGATGTAGTGTAGGCTCAATTATGTTAAAATATAAAATGTAAATCATTAAAAATCTTCAAATTAGTCTAATACTGAAGTTATACTGATCAAATAGATACTACTAAGATCGAATTTAAACAGGCTACCTGAGATCGCAAAAAAATTTATGAAAGACACTTTTTAAGATTTAATAGTCATAAATATCATATATCATATATCATATACCAAGGTCTAGACTTAAGCTACAAAAAACTGTAAACAGAATTAAAAAATATTGAGGTACACAAAAGTAAGAGCAGTTTGAGTGATGCGAAAACCATACAAGTCGTCAGATATGAAAAGTGCCCTATATCTCGGCAGATTTTGAAAAAATTTCTTCACAATTTGTCTTTAAATATTGTTTGTCATCGAAAAATACACAAAACTCATTTGTTGTTGTTGTTTCGGAACTTTTATAAGATATTTTATTTTTTGTTGAATTATTCTACTACTTATTTAAATCGATTTATCTCAAAAGTGTACCAAACAAATTTTGATGTTTATACATTTTTGAAAACTAGCTCGAACATACAATGAGTATACTCAGAGCACATTATTTGTGAACTTGCAAACTCTTTTGAGAATGTGCTCATTTCATTTATTAAAGTGATGCGATCACGGTGCCATTTTGAGTATGCTCAATGAGCACATTCTTATATGACATGCATTAAGCTCACTGAGTAAAACTAATAAGCATACTCAAATGAGAAGACAACATACCACACGAAACAATTTTTTATTTTATTTTTATATTAATAACATTTTATCTCAAATATTTAAGATGGACATTTTAAAAACCGGTCACCCATCCTTGTAGAAAAAAATTTTGCGTTGCTTAACTTCTGTCACCTCACACTTTTCCTTGGAGCAATTTTCTGTAAATATATAATAATTTTTACATGGCAAAACACATACTTAAATTATTATATTATTACAGGCAAACCAAGTTCTTTGAAGTGCTTAATTGAACTATACTTTTATGAAATTTTTGAGTTGATCAGAGCACGATCGTGAGAACATATTATGAAAAATGTCGACCATCTTAAAATTAAACTTAAAATACATTTTTATGTAAGTCGACATTTTCAAAAACGTCGACCAACTTAAAATCGAACAAAGAATACATTTTTATGCAAGTCGACATTTTTTGAAAAATTTTTTGAAAAATGTCGACCAACTTAAAATTAAACTTAGAATGCGTTTTTATGTAATTCGACATTTTCAAAAACGTCGACCAACTTAAAATCGAACAAAGAATACATTTTTATGCAAGTCGACATTTTTTGAAAAATGTCGACCATCTTAAAATTAAACTTAGAATACGTTTTTATGTAAGTCAACATTTATTCGACCATCTTAAAATTAAACTTAAAATACATTTTTATGTAAGTCGACATTTTCAAAAACGTCAAACCAAATTAAAATCGAACAAAGAATACATTTTTATGCAAGTCGACATTTTTTGAAAAATGTCGACCAACTTAAAATTAAACTAAGAATACGTTTTTATGTAAGTCGACATTTTTTGAAAAATGTCGATCAACTTAAAATTAAACTAAGAATACGTTTTTATGTAAGTCGACATTTTCAAAAACGTCAAACCAAATTAAAATCGAACAAAGAATACATTTTTATGCAAGTCGACATTTTTTGAAAAATGTCGACCAACTTAAAATTAAACTAAGAATACGTTTTTATGTAAGTCGACATTTTTTGAAAAATGTCGATCAACTTAAAATTAAACTTAGAATACGTTTTTATGTAAGTCGACATTTTCAAAAACGTCGACCAACTTAAAATCGAACAAAGAATACATTTTTATGCAAGTCGACATTTTTTGAAAAATCCCCAGCTCTTTGTATGTCCTCTACAAGAAAAAATGACCCTATCATTAGAACATAAGGACACATAAGGATAAACCTTTAAAGCCAGTTCTTTCGAAGCTCAACTGTCAATTTGAAAATCAAAATGCTGGAACGAATGATTTTTATTTTAAATCTGAAAAAGCCGTCTAATTTTCAAAAAGTGAATAAAAGACGATAAACTTCTTATGTTAAGTTAATTATTTTATTCTCCTCCTTCTTATTATTTTCTTCTTCTTGTATGAAAAATCATAGTTCTCTTAGTAATGAGAAAAAAAAATGAAACTTAAATTTATATTGTAAGAAAAAAAAAACTCTTTTTCTTTAACTTCTTCTTCTCTTTTCTTCTCCGGTCTCGTACTTTTACATTATTAATATTATTATTTTTTATCTCGTCCATCCTCAAAATAAACTTTTCTTAATGATGATGATTGATAAATTGTTTTCTTCGTGTTTAACAATTTAAATAAAACTGAATGATGAAGATTTTTATGATGAATTTTGAAAGTTTTGCAACGATCTACGATCAATATAAATGAAAAAAAAAGGAATCTGAATGGAATAATCAGCTTATCATCACAGATCTCTTTATTAAAAGATTTGTTATGATTTGTTTGTAATATTGAGTTGTACTCTCTTGTTGTTGTTGCAGCACTTCTACTGTCGTTGTGATGAAGTCTTTTTCTGTCCGTTTGGACAATTGCCTGTGGTAAAGTGAAATGCATATTAAGATCCAGAATATGAATAAGAAGTAAAGTGAGTGAGTAGCTTACGGCTTATATGGCCTTCCAGATTACATGCGAAGCAAACATCAACTTTTGTGGGACAATCTCGTACCAAATGACCTTTTTCCTTGCAATTGTAGCATCCTAATTGATCCTTTTCGCGATCACAATCACGAGATTTGTGGCCAGTATCATTGCAGCGATAACAACGTTCTTCTTGTTCCTGACAATCCCTAGCCAAGTGCCCAACTCGGTTGCATTTGTAGCACTTTTGGCCCGCTGCAAAGACATTTTCTGTGAAAAAGGATATCAGTTGGATCGTCTCATAACCCCTAATTTCTTGTTTTTTGTACTAGGAATATTGTACGATCTAATATTAATAAAATTTACATTTACCAAACTTATTTCCACCACCGAAATTACTACGGCATTCACGAGCGAAATGTCCAGGACGATTACCTGCAAATCAAAAGCATTTTATTGTAATTTTACTTATAAATTGTTGATGAGTGAAAAATGCAACATTTTGGAACTGAAAATTTTTCTGCACTTTCCATTTCAACGTTAATATGTTATTTTTAATATACTTACATTTGTAGCAAACTGAAGACATGTTTAATCTATCGAGTCAGTATGTTTTAATCTTTTAACAATCTGTATTATCTCTGTTATTTGCAATATTTATAAAAATATCTTCAATTTTTATTAGAAAAAACACAATGCTTGATTTCTGCACTAATACAATCAAAGGAACTATATTCGTGTCTCTAATCTGCAAACATCATTCACTCTTGACTTTATTAAGCGAGCATTTTACTATACTTTACTTATTGAATCAACTGAATTGCATGTTATATGTTTCTAACATATCTTCTCACTTTGTAGCTTGCTTAATAAAGTCAATTATGATGTAACGACTTTTTCGAAAACGGCTAGTAAGATCTTCTCGGACCTTAGTCCTCCTCGTCATCAAAAATCACAGCATTTCTCAATAAATACACTACATTATATGGTACAAATGTTCTAAATCGTTGCTGTTCATTAATTAGAATTGGCAGGGATAATAATATTAAGCAGTCATGTCAAAAAACAATGGAAAATCAAGTAATAGAATTGTGTGTATAGTTTCGAAAGAAGACAGTGAAAACAACTTTCGAAAATCAAGGAAAACAATAATAAAGAAAACATAAAATTATTAAATTAAGTGGTTTAATTAGTGTTTATTTCAATTATTAGCAATTCTTCTTGTGACCTGAAAGGTAAGTGCTCAGCACAGCATGAAGAACATCTGAAAATCAAGTTTAAAGAGAAAGAAAATCATGAAAATTGTTAATTAATTTAATTTCAGGAAAAACAACATAATCTTGACAAAATGGCTATGAGTAAAACAACCTCGACTTACAACAGGACGAACTGGGAAGATTCCGAGTTTCCAATTCTGTGCCAGACGTGTTTAGGCGATAATCCTTATGTTCGAATGGTAAAATCCAACAGCTTTTCATTTGTTGACATAACTAAACGTTTATAATTTACATTTTACAGATCAAAGAACGTTATGGCAAGGAATGCAAGATTTGTGCACGTCCATTCACAATATTCAGATGGTGTCCAGGTGCTAGAATGCGATTTAAGAAGACCGAAATCTGTCAGACATGCTCAAAGCTTAAAAATGTGTGTCAAACTTGCTTACTGGATCTTGAATTTGGACTTCCAACGCAAGTTAGAGACGCTGCCTTAAAGATTCAAGATGAGATTCCTCAAAGTGATGTGAATAAGGAATATTATTTGCAAAATGTTGAGAAACAAATAGAATTAAATGATGGACAAATGCCGAATAGCAGTGGAAAGGCACAAGCTGCTTCTGATGTTTTAGCTAAGCTGGCTCGTACCACACCATATTATAAGAGAAATTTACCACATATCTGCTCATTTTGGGTTAAAGGAGAGTGTAAAAGAGGTGAAGAATGTCCTTATCGTCATGAAAAACCGAATCAACCTGACGATCCACTTTCTGAGCAGAATATTCGTGACAGATACTATGGAGTAAATGATCCAGTAGCTGAAAAGTTACTTAAGAGGGCTGCATCATTGCCAGTACTTGAAGTTCCATCAGACAAGACCATAACGACTTTATATGTTGGAAATCTGAGTGAACATTTAACAGAAGTTGATATTCGTGATCAATTCTATCAATATGGAGAGATTCGTAATGTAACTTTAGTTCCAAAACAGCAATGTGCATTTGTACAATTTACTAAGCGATCAGCTGCTGAGCTAGCTGCTGAGAAGACGTTTAATAAACTAGTACTTGGTGGCAAGAAATTAAGTGTTCGATGGGCATATTCACAAGCGAAACAAGCAACATCTTCATCACAATCGGCACCACTGAGACCACGAATTGATCCTCGACTTGATCCAGTTCCTGGACTTCCTGATTTACCAACTCCAAATGATTATTTCAACTTGAATGCTACCGATATGATGATTTTACCGCCAGGACTTAAAATCAATCAAATTCCACAGCAATTTTTACCACCATCAATGCCTGGACCGTCAGGAATTCATTATCCATCAATGGATCCAAATCGTCTTGGATCTTTACAGAAATAATCATGATCAATCTTGTAAAATTAACTATCAAAAATTGAATAAAGTAATTAACGGTTTAAGAAAATTTAAAAACTAGTAAAAATTTCGATTTAAACGCAATGCAGAAGCGCATTTCAAATGAAGGTAATGAGAAATTCCAAATTATAGATTATACTGGGGGTCCTCGATTTGAGTAGTTATTTTGTTCCGAAAATTTTCTACTCAAATCGAATTTATTCAAATCGAGGCAAGGAATCCATATAAAATCACATGTTTTGTTCCAAAGTCCATTTATTTTAAATTTAAAAATTTTTATTTTAAAGCATATTCATATGTGATTTTAAACAGAAATTCACAAAAAATATGTTTTTGAAACAGATTAAAAATATTAGAACTTTACAAATGTTATTTCAACCGAACAATTTGTAAGGTTTTGAATTTTGAATTTTTTAAAACCGTTATTTATATATCGATTTTGTAAATTTTTATTTTAACTTTGTAATTTTATTATTGATTTTTCTATCAATATGATTAGTTCATGATTATTGCATTAAAATTTATGTTTAAAAATATCTTCTGAAAAGTTTTTGTCAAAAACATTTGTTTTGTAAACAATTCAATTCGAAGAAAAGAAGAAGAAATTTACTCAATTCTAGTATTTTTTTTGGTGGGTAAAAATATTTCAATTCAAATCGAATCTACTCAAATCGAGGACCCCCAGTAATTTCAAGTCTTCAAGTCATGTCAACTGGAACATTTAAAAATTATCGAGTTCTGGGGGTCCTCGATTTGAGTAGTTGTTTTGTTCCAAAAAATTTCTACTCAAATCGAGGCAAATACGAATCCATACAAAATCACATGTTTTGTTCCAGAGTCCATAAAATGCATCAAAACAATGAAAATTTTGATAATTTTTTGCACATTTTACCTCGTTGCTTAACTTTTCCTATGTGTTTTAGATAACTTAATTTATTTTAAAGCATATTCATATGTGATTTTAACAGAAATTCACAAAAAATGTGTTTTTTCAACAAATCAAAAATATGAGAACCTTGCAAATGTTATTTCACTGAACAGTTTGTAAGGTTTTGAAATTTGAATTTTTTAAAATCGTTATTTTTTATATCGATTTTGTCTGAAAAGTTTTTGTCAAAACATTTGTTTTGTAAACAATTCAATTCGAAGAAAAGAAGAAGAAATTTACTCAATTCGAATATTTTGGTGGGTAAAAATATTTCAATTCAAATCGAATCTACTCAAATCGAGGACCCCCAGTAATTTCAAGTCTTCAAGTCAAGTCAACTGGAGCATTTAAAAATTATCAAGTACTGACAAAATGGACAGAATATTGCAGATTATCGAAAATTTTGTATAATGTGCTATCAACGAAGGATGCAAAGCTATTGTGGAAATCTAAAATTTCAAAAATCGAATTGTAATTTCAAAATAATAAAAAGTTTAATTTTTATACATTTCGAGGACTATTTAAGTGTTTAAAATTGTTTTATTGTAAAGATATTGTGTATAGTTTCAAGTAGCAACTGCCAAATGATGAGAAATTGTGCGTAAAAGTGTAAATAATAATAATAATACTTTTTTCTATTGAAAAAAAAACAACAACAAAAAAATAAATATTTTGAAAAAAAAATGAAAGAACTATGATATTAGTCGAATTTTAAGTAAAAAGAAAGGGAATTAATTTCTTTTAATTTAAATAATGGGCGTTTGCTTATGTAAGGATAAAGTAGAATTAGATTACACAAATAATGATGATGGACCAGACATATATACTTTGATAAGAACTCCAAATGAAGGAGGAAATGGATGTAGCATGAATAATAATAATAATCAGCGAATTTCTGAGCGTGTTGATGAGTTGGTAAAAGAAACGCTGGATGTGATTAGTACGATAGTTGATGATGAGCCTGAAACCCCAAATTCTATGCTTTTACTTCATGAGATAACAGATCGTCCAAAAGGCTGGTTATGTCTAGTTAGAAGCTTAATTAGAGTAATTCCAATTGATCACGCAATGGGACCGTCTGTGATTACACTTCTTTTAGACGATTCTCCATTGCCTTCAAGGGAATCTGTCGAGCAGGTTGCACAGATGATAACAGAAACGAATACAACGATACCACATGAGAGAAATTTGTGTGTAATTTTGGGATGTCTGGCCGAAAAACTCGCAGGTCCTATTGCAATTCTGAATGATACAACACTGTCGTATCTCCTCAATAATATCAGTTCCAATGAGACACCAAAAGATGTAAAGCTTTTCTCATTAATAGCACTCGAAAAATTCGCCCAAACAGCTGAGAACAAAAGTACAATCAAAAAGAAACTCTTATCTTATGCGGAACATCCTTTATTACATCTTGAAACACATTCAAATGATATTGATGACTATACATTACGTCAAATTGGATTTTGTGCAAAGTGGAGCTTAGACAATTACTGTAAGTTCCTTATCAGTGTTTTTCAAATTTTGTCACAATGAATTATTCAAGGCCATAGAACTCCCAAAATAGTATAGCCGTGAGTGAGCATTGTGCAGTACAAACTATTGAGTAAAATTAAGTTAATATGAGCAAAGTGTAGTTAAATATTGTAAAGTGAAGCAAAGTAAACCAAAGTAAAGTAGAATGGAGCAAAGTGTATTAAAAGTGTAGCAAGTATAGTTTAAGTGTAGTAATGTGTTTTAAAAGTAAAGTCAGTAAAGTAAGAGTATAACAAGTGTAGTAAAAGTATAGAAAGTGCAGCATCCTAAAACTGTTTAAAACTTTAAAAACCAAAATGTTTAAAGTTGATGTGCATTAATTTTGAAATAATGCATATTTTACCATACCATTTATTTATAAATAGTCAATATTATCGCAACTTAAGAACCGCTTATTATTTGAAATTTCATGCATTGAAATTCTCATGTCTTGAGGAAATATTAACAAAGATAAAATGAATCTTTTCTCAGATAAAAAAATAAAACTGTTAAACTAAATTCAAATATTTCAACATTCTTCCAAATTTCGAAAAACAGTAACGAAAGAAAAGTGCACTAATAGAAATAATTGTATGGTTTTGAGAAATATCAAATATTCAAATATTTGATTTTTCCGATTTGTATGAAATTTCAAATATTCGATATTTGGTTTGGATAATAAACAAATAAAAAAATAATATTTTAAATCTATAACCTTTAGTTAAGTTTTTAAACATTTTCTTTTAAATTTTTAAAATGATTGCAAAATCTTTTATTTTATTTTTGAAAGTATGAGTTTAACGTATTAATGGACCACATGTTTAAGAGACCTTTAACTATTTAGATTGAAATTATGCACTAATAAATTTGATTAAAAATAAAGTATAGAAAAGTAGGAGTAAAGTGTGGTAAAATTAAGCTTAGTGTGGTAAAGTATACTAAAGTATAGTAAAGTAAAGTGTAGTAAAGTATAGATTAGTGTACTTTTGTATAGTAAAGAGTAGTTAAGTGAAGTAAAGTTTAGTAATTGCAGTGATTGTGATACATTGTATAGTAAGTGTACTGAAACATAAGTAAAAATTTGTAAAGTTGATACAAAGTTGACATAGTGCAGGGAGTTCTATGGCCTTGGAATTATTAATGGAATGACTTCATAATATTTACATTACTAATCTGTTCATCATTCTCATTAATTTATAGTTTTAGTAGAAGACAGAAAATATTCTTATCAGACCGTAGATGCTGAGAAAATTAATGTTATGCTTAATACAAAAGATGTCAGTGAATATCTGAAAATATCTGCCGATGGACTTGAAGCTCGTTGCGATTCGTACTCTTTTGAATCAGTTCGATCGACAATATCTGTAAAGACGGGTGCATGGTATTATGAATGCTTAATTATAACTAGTGGAGTAATGCAAATTGGATGGGCTCAAAAGGAATCACATTTCTTGAGTTCTGATGGCTATGGTATTGGCGATGATTCATATAGTGTTAGCTTTGATGGCTGTCGGAAACTTATTTGGCATAATGCTAAATCGACACCTATTAATTTACCAAGATGGAAACCTGGTTCTATATGTGGCTGTTATATTGACTTAGATGCAAAACAAGTTATATTCAGTTTAGATGGGTGTGAAGGTTTTGTTTTTGATGAGGTTTTCATTGATAAAAGGTAGTGCTTGTTTATTCATTACCTTTACTCATAGTCTGATAATTGTTTTTACTTTACAGTAACGAATTAGGATTTTTCCCTGCTGCTTCTTATATGAGCTTTCAGCAATGTAGATTTAATTTTGGATCGGAGCCTTTTGTATATCCACCAAGTCGACCATTCAACATTTTCAATGATAAAGCAGTATTAACGCCGCAAGACAAAGTAAATCACTAATATATTTATATTGTGTAAATCAGTTCCATTAAACTTTCATCTTTTCATAGATTGTTCTTCCACGACATTTGTATCTCGAAGAGCTTAGGAAATTGAGTGTTTCAGACGATTCATGTTCGTTGTGTTTCGACGCATTGGCAACGATACAACTTCTTCCTTGTAATCATACTGGATTCTGCAGTAGCTGTACAAAATTGCTTTCAAACTGTCCCATATGTAGAGCTGATATTGTAAATATTATAGAGACAACAATTAATCAGGAACCACAGTCGAATGGGCAAGCTTCATGATGATTGATAGAAAGAGAGAGAGATTAATATCTGATTGTTAATTGCTTTATGCACCTGTTTTCATATTTCGTTTACGTTTTTACTAGACTTCCTTTTTTTTTAAAAAACAAAACTCCTTTTTAATTATTAAATTGTACTTAAACAGTGATAATCAATGAAGAATAATAATATTAATACCTGTGTGGATTCAAATTTGCTCGTCTGAGTATTGAAGCTATGCTGCCTCCTTAACAATATCCGTGTTACGAAGATAATTCTCTATTTTTTTATAATACTTATCAAGAATCATTCAGTAAGTCAGAGAACGTTATGTATACATAGAAATAGATTCCTTAAAGCTTCTTCCTCCATAATCAATCGGAACAACAAAAAAATATATATCGATTAAGTACTATCTCTAAAATTACCTAATTATAAATTTCTTTTATGCTGAAATAACACTTTTACAAAATAATAATAATAAAAAGATCCAGAATAGACAAAACTTTGAATCAAGGAAATCAAAAATGCCTTTTTAATTTATTCATGTTTTAATCTTGAGACTTCATTTCAACATCTTCATCACTTTCAGACTTTTCTTGACTTATTTCTCCTTCTTGACATTGTTCAATATTCTTTAAATTTTACATATAAAAGATTAAATATTAATGAGTTACTTTTGGGGTGGAAAGTAGATTAAAAAGTTCTATAGAACTTGCAATAAACCTTCCACCCCAAAGACATTTTAATAATAGCAGATAACCCAAAGCCGGAAGTTAGAAATCGAAGATACAAAATGCTTTTTATTCCATTCTGCGTTCTTCGACTGCTGGATCTTCTAGCCTTGGTTCTGGCTGGTTTAAAGGCGCTGGAGGATCAACATAAGGTTGTCTCTCAGTTCCACCTACGCCTACCTCGCTTGGATCGCTTTCAGCTGTTGCTGGTTGAGTGCCAGCAATTTCAGCATTAATATATTTCTCCAATTCAGATTCTTGGAAATTCTTAAATTTCATATCCTTTCCAACAACGCAAATTGACAAGTTCTGATTATTCAACTTTGTTTCATTTGGTAAAGTTCCTGCTAAAGCACGAACACCATGATTAATAAGTTCCTGCAAATCGCAATCCTTGAATAAATTCAAGTGCTTTTCTAAATAAGTTCTAGCACTTTGTGAACGAGCTCCTATAGCCATTGCTCTACAATCATAGAAATTAGCACTTGGGCATGTTTGATAAATATGTGGACCTTGATCATCATATCCAGCAACTAATAATCCAACACCATAAGGACGACGATCATATCGTTGAGTACAAACTTGCATTTTCAAGCCTAAAGTATTGATTAATCTTGACACTGGGTGATTTCGTCCATAAGAATACTTGTGATTGATGCATTCCTGACGCAAGTAACGACTACAATTAAACAGCTTAAATTAACATCCAGGAAACCAGAAACATTTAATAACTTTTACCATAAAACACGAGCATCAGCAGTGATTCCAGCCATAGAAATACCAATATGATCATCAATTCGTAAGATCTTTTGCTGATGAGCAGACAATTCGGAAGTTGCTCTTTTTAAAGCAATTAAGACGGCATAATCTTTAGATTTTAATCCAACAGTTGCTGATCCAAGCTTCACAGCTTCCATAGCATACTCGACTTGATGTATTCTTCCTTGTGGACTCCAAACAGTCACATCACTATCGTATTGATTGCGAAACTGGAAGTAAAATTAAAGATTCATTAACAATGATTTGTAATTTTAGGGTACATGAAGGTTAATGGTGAGAATTTTGGAAATATCTTTGTAAATATGCTGCATTTTTAATGCATTTTATGATATTTCGATGCTTCTGGATGTACATTATCAGCTTACCATGATTTTATTCCTCAAAAAAGCGTATTATTCTTTAAAAATTAAAAAAAACTATCACTGTCTTGATTAATTTTGTGATTTTGCAGTTCTTTCAAAATTGTTCAAAATTTTTTTTGAATGTTTCAAAAACTTGTTTGAATTTTAAACAACAGTTATTTTCAGTTGATTTCTCCTTGCAATTTTCGATTTCCAAGATGTCTTGCTGTGTGTTTTTGATAAACATAATCTAATTCTAGTCATACGATTTATTATTAATCTAATATTATTATTGTTTGACTGTTAAGAAAAAATTTGAATTTGCGACTTAGACAACGGGATTTTTTTTTCTCAAGTTTTCAAAAACCACCGGTATTTGTTTTGAGAAAAATATCACAATTTTGTTAAAATACAGTATATAATACAAATGACAGCAATTAATTAGATTAAATTAAGTTATAACATATTAATACACTGATAAAAAGTCGAATAACAAAGGATTAATCATGTTTTCGCTAGTTTATCAATATTTATTTGAAAAACGACCAGAAAATATCAAAAAGTTCGAGGATGAAAAGAGAAGAAAATTTGACGAATTGATTGATGAATTAATGCGAAAAGACGATGAAAATAGTGACATTACAGGATCTGAACAACATCCAGATGATTCTGAAATAAATATCGCCGAATTAAGCTGGAAGTGCACAAAAAATGAAGGTAAGAAATTTGACACTTCCAAAAACGTGACTCCATTTTTTCTATAAACATTAATTGAAATGAATAACAGGCATTGTAACATCTTTAAACGACAAATTTGGAGTAATTAATGAAAAACATGAATTTCCAAAGATAAAAGCTCTAGATTTCTGGTCAATCATAAAAGTTGGAAGTAAAGTTTCGTACTTGCTGTTTGAGAATACTGTAGCTTCCATGAAACTTATTGATGCTGGTTGGGAAGAAGATTATAACAAGAACAACGTCATTCCAAAAAATACATTTAAAGAGGGATATAAAACGGAATTGCGAACTGTTTTGGGAACGATTGACGAAATTAATGACAATATAATCACTGTTGACATTGGAAATACCAAGGAATATGTTCCAATCGACGAAACATCAGAATGGATATTCGCAGAAGGTGATAATGTTCGTTTAGACTGTATAATAACTGAAGATGAGACAACTTGGAATCCATCAATTGGAACTTTTGGAAATATCGTTGAAATAAAGAAAATTACTCCAAATAGCATCAATAATGATATTGGACGAGTTACAGCCACAGCAGGCGATTATGCAATATTTGATGAATCAATCATCCTTAACTATTCTCATTTTAATAAACAAAAGATCGTTGATTTATGGGATGAATTTGAATATCTGGCTATTGAGACATCAATATTTCGTGATGGAAGAAACTTTAATTGGCGTATAACAAAGTTAATTAAGAAAATTGAAGATAATAGTGACAGACAAATTGACAGCACAAAAAAGATCCAAATGAATGATGAATTTTTCGAATTAAGACAAAATTCGCGTGTAATCACTAAATTCACGACTATATTCAACAATTCAGACCAAAAAATTACGATCTTTAAATGTGAAATAACAGCAAATAGTGGATTGATTGAGCTCCAAAAACCAGACAAAAAGTTTGAATTGAAACCTTGCAATGGTGCTTACAAAGTTTTTATGAACATTTGTCCAAAACAGTACGGAATATTTGCAGAAGAACTGAATGTGGATTTTGGAACTTTCAAGAAGAAATCCTTAATAAAGTTTCAAATCAGCAGATCAATGTCAGTAAATAGAAATCGATTTGGTCGTTTCAATACAGGAAATGAAATAATTCCAGGACAAAAAATCAAAAGTGCACCGAGATTCATTGAAATAAGAATTCCTGAATATCCCGTTCCTGACCAATTCCGACATAACTTTGATTTTAAGAAGCAAACTCAATTACTCGTACATGATTTCACACTTCATGACCACAGATTTTTGATTGAGGAGCTTATCGAACAAAATTATTATGCTAAAATGCGTTACTGTTTATATTTAGAGGAAATAGCAATGGAAATTTATTTTGAACGTTATAGAATTGATCGTGCACATTTCGATAATAAGGAAGAGTTTCTTCGACTTGAAGTTGAAGGAATAAATGAGAAACGTCCATCAATTGCAATGGGCGATAAAATTCTCGCAAGTGATCCATTTTCTGCAAAAACCAACAACACTTATGAAGGATTTATCCATAAAGTTGAACAAAATGCTGTGCTTTCCAAGTTTCATTCAGAATTTCATCATTCCCACGGTCGTAGAGATTTTCGTATTGATTTTCACTTTTCACGTACATCCTTTAAGCGACAGCAATTTGCATTAGATCAAGTTTTGTCATCAAACGGCTTGGGACTAAATTTCTTATTTCCACGACTTGTGAATATTAAAAAGAATCCACAACTTGATGTCAAGCTATCAGAAAATGGAAACATTTTGTTGAATCAAAACGAATCAGAATTTTTCAACAAGTCACTAAACGTTTATCAAAAGACTGCTTTAATTAATGTTTTACGTGGTGAATCACGTCCACTTCCTTACATCATTTATGGACCTCCAGGTAATGCCTTATTTCATGCTTTTTCAGCAATTTTTTATTTGCACGCTTTTAACGTTACTAGCCTGTGGCTTATGGGATGAAAAAAGTTTTCATAATCGTGAAAAAAGGCTTAATAACGGATAGTGGCTTGTTAAAAAAAAAAAGTCAACGAACAAGAAAACTTAATAAATTTCATTGAAATCTTAGATTTTTCAAGTCCAAACCACCTTGAAACTATTATAGCTATTAATTCCAATCATTAAATCATAGTAAATGATTAATTCGTAGTGGCTTAATAAAGGAAGAGAAAAATTTTCAGATCAAATTTTCTTTATCGAGCTACTGGCTTAGTAACGAGTAGTGGCTTCTAACGTAAAAAAATAGGGTACACGCTTTTTATTAAGTTGCTCTGTCTCTCAAAGGCTTTCGATTCTATTAGGCATGACATTCTGATTAAAAAATTAAAGTTACTTAAACTTGATAAGTCCTTCACTAGACTCCTAATTTCATATCTTGAAGATAGATTAGCGATAAAACAGCGATAGCGCTTTATTATGCACATGTTCAATCACGACTTATGTTTATGAATGTTGTGTGATCAGCAACTGCGCAGTACAACTTAAACTTGCTTGAAATTGCATTGTATAATATAAAAATTCTGCCAGTCACAACGCTATGTCAAAGTAGTATATGCATTCATGTCTTTAAAATTACGTCGAACGTGCTTAAAAATAGTGTCAATATTCAAACTGCCAATGAAAGACACAACTATCAAACAAGACAGAGAGAAAATTATGTCATTCCAGCTACTCGGTAGATTGCAAGATTGAAAGACTTAAAAGAAGAAATTAAAAAATGGTTTAAAAAAACTTTTACACGCTTTTATCAAAAAGACTAAAAACCCTAAAAACCAAAAAGTTGAAAATAAAATAAGATCACACTTTTAGCGAATCAGAATTCTAAAAATTTTCTTGTGACAACTGGAAATGTAACATAAATTTTTTTCAAAATATTGTAATTAAGTCCAAGAACACAATGAATCTAAAAGCGTGGGGCGTAATTTAAGGATAATTTCTTAATTCAGCTAAGTTCTTAAGTAAGAGAACGTCAAATCTCATAGCCCCTCGCTTTTAGAGTCATTGTGTTCTTGGACTTAATCACAATATTTTGACAAAATTTATTTTACATTTCTAGTTATCATAAGAAAATTTTAAAATCCTGATTCGCTAAAAGTGTGATCTTATTTTGTTTTCAATTTTTTGGTTTTTAGTCTTTTTGATAAAAGCGTGTTTTTTAAAAAATATTTTCTTCTTCTAATTCATTTAATTATTCAGGCACAGGAAAGACTCGAACAGTTGTCGAATGTATTAAGCAGATATCAAGTAAGATCTCATGGAGTCGAATAATAATTGCAACGCCATCAAACTCTGCTGCAAATTTGATTGTTGAGAATCTTGTTGAGTCAGGAATTTTTAAAGGAGGTGATTTCATACGTTTTGTAAGCTACAACCAAATTGATCGAGATGCAATTCCTAATAATTTGAAGAAATATTGTGCAACGATTGACATTGGATATGACAAGGGAGACGCTAGCAATTTTGTAAGTATTTGTGTGCCTTATTAATTTTTTTGATGTAATAAAAATTCGTTTTAGATGACCAATGAGTCAGGAATGATGATGAATGCATCAAAATCTATAATAGTCAAGTACAGAATTTATATATCGACTTTAAGCACTTTGGGACCATTGATGCATATAAAATTCTTACGTGATCATTTCACACATGTTATTATTGATGAGGTAAGCTTTTTTCGCACTTAAAGATTGTCAATGATATTTTATTATCTTTTAACATTCTTTATCAATTAAGGCTGGTCAATCAGTTGAACCTGAAACTCTTATTCCGATATCATTTTTATGTCAAAATAAGGGTCAAGTAATTTTGGCAGGAGATCCACAACAATTGGGACCTGTTTTAATTAGTCAAGTTTCAAAGTTTTGTGGATTTGAAAAGTCATTTTTAGAACGACTGTCTGAACACAAATATTACTTGCCAATTTATGGAGAAAAAAAGGATCAATTTGACGAAAAGTTTGTGACTAAATTAAAAAAGAATTATCGCTCACTTCCATCAATTTTGAATGTTTATAGTCATTTGTTCTATAACAATGACTTGGAAGCGGAAGTAAATGATGAAAAATCTCCAGAAATGAATATTTTGAAGTCAATCGATTCACTTTTGTGGAACAGGAACACAGCAAATAAAAAGTGCGGAGCATTCTTTGTCAATGTCTCTGGTAGAAATTTGAAAACATCTGATTCAAGCAGCTGGTTTAATAATGAGGAAGCATCAAGAATCTTTTATTTTATCTGCAAACTGAAAAACCTTGGAATATCGTTGAAAAATGTTGGAATCGTAAGTAAACTAAGCTTAATAAATTTTTTCTCTTCAATCACTTGATGCATTACAGATAACTCCATATGCATTGCAAGTTAAAAATTTGAAGAAAATCATCAATGAAAGTATGCCTGACAGTGAAATAAAAATTGGAAGTGTTGAAGAATTTCAAGGACAGGAACGTGACATTATATTGATTTCGACAGTTCGTACAAATAAAGGCTTAATTGCCACTGATCAGAGATTTGGATTGGGATTTTTGCAATGTTCAAAGCGGATGAATGTCGCTATTTCAAGAGGTAAGTTATTGGAAGTTATTTTTGAATTTTTATAGGATCAAAAATATTTAAGAATTGTGGTTCAATTTTTGAAATTTGAAAATTTTATTTAGCTCGAGCAGTCTTGATCGTATTCGGAAAGGAATCTCTCCTCGCGCAGGATGAAAATTGGCGATATTATATCCAGTACACCAAAGAAAATGGAACATATGTGACTGAAAAAGTAGCAAATAGTGATAACAATTAAAGTTTAAGACATAATTATTTAGCATTGAGCTGTGAAAAGATTATTTTGGAGAAAATAAAAATTTGAAATAACGAAAAAAATAATTTCAAAAGCACTTATCACTAGCTTGTATATATGACCTGCTTACAATTCACTCTGCCTGCATCCCTTCGTATCATCAAAACAAAATTCGTAAAAAAGAAAGAAATTTTATAAAGAAATATATTTTATTTACATAAAAAGAGTTGTAGTCTTAAGTCTTTGTGCTCGACTTTTAGTTAAAAGTAGATTTTCTAATTTTATTAACATGGCATCAACAGCAGCAGCAGCAGTGTCAAAGGAAAATTGGAGTAGAGTAATTAACAAATGATTTTTTTTTCACATCAAAAATTTGAATTATGACTCATCGTACGTCTACCTTCTTTTTAATTTTCATTAATCTTTGATAACAATTAGGCAGTGTTAAGCATTCCACCTGACTTTTTGAGACTAACCCCAAGTAATTTTCAAGTTGTTGCTGATCACGAAGCCGCAATGGCACTTCATCAGCAACAAATTGGCTTTCCTGCTTTCGGTCTAGCTGTAAGTTGAATATAATTTAATTAATAATGTGACACAAAGGAAATAAGTTATTTATGTCATTATTTGAACAGGCAAATACTTCGGGAAGACTAAGCATAACTGTTGCGCAAGCGAAACTAGTGAAAAATTATGGATTGACTAGAATGGACCCATATGTCCGTATTCGAGTTGGACATTACATTTATGAGACACAGACAGATCAGAATGGAGGAAAAACACCGAGATGGAATAGAGTTTTTCATACACAATTGCCAAATGGAGTCAATAAAATATTTTTGGAGATTTATGATGAATGTAACTTTACGATGGATGAACTTATTGCATGGGCTGAAATTAAAATTCCTGAGGCTGTCATTGATAAATGTGAGACCCACGAGGATTGGTACGCACTTTGTGGAAAGTCTGGTGATCATAAGGAAGGCATGATTGATCTAGTGCTTAGTTTTACACCTGCATCGTGTCTTTACCAACGTCCTATACAGCCACAGCAACAAAATGTTGTTATAGTACCGAATGTATCAGGCCGTGCACTTCCTGTCTATGTTCAACCCCAACCAACTCCAATTCAACAAATTGCTCAAACACAAGAATTGCAACAACCGATGTCACAAGCAATTCCTCCTCCCATTCAACCCTTGACTGATGAAGATATAGCCAATTTAATGGAAATGTTTCCTAATATCGATAAAGAAGTCATTAAATCAATCGGCGAGGCCAATAGAGGTGATAAAGATGCCACTATTAATTCATTACTTCAACTTACCAATTAAAAAAATCATTTAAAATAATCATGGAAATTGTTAAAAGACAGGATAATCGGGATAATCTATTTAATTAGGTATGAGCGATGATAATGAACTTATTCACCAAAAAAAAAAACAATTTAAAGCTATTTTTTCATATATATATTTATATAATTAATTTTTATGTCAATCTACTTCGAAAGCAAAGAATTATACTTTTCTTATGGCTATTTTGTGTATGATTTTATGCTGCTTAAATAAAATTACATTAACATAAAAATAACGGGTTTTTAAAATTTGAATTTTTTTCTCTCACACAGAATTTTTCAAAAAGAAAACATTGAGAAATGACTTTCACATTAAATTCGTTTAATTATAGTTTATAAGTGTTCTTTAATGATTTAAAATAGTGTAAGAGCAGGAGAAACGAATCTACAACATGAAGAAAGTGAAGCATGAGGTGGACGACTTAAAAAACAAGTTTTTAAACTTGAAACAAAATCTTTTAAGAGTAATTAAAATAATAATATTTGTTGATTGTAGCTTTATATTCAATATTGTATCTTACAGCAACCAATACAAATTCCACAAATGGGATTTTCTGATCATACACTTCACAATTTATCTCTAATACCTGAATCTTATGCAAGTAGTCGTAAAAATAGTAAAATTGATGGTGATGAAGACAATGAAAATAGCACAAAATTATCGGATCAGGAGTTATTGGAAACAACTGAGGCGATATACTTTACGGACAATGTTGATATGGAGCTTTATGAAATTAAGAAATTAACTGAGAGTGGAGAGCCTTTAAAATTGGATCAAATTGAACAAAATATGGTAAATTTGAAAAATCAACATAAAGTGATTTCTAAAAAAGTGCTCCAATTAATACTAGAGAAAAAGTCGGAATGTAATAGAGAGTTTCAGAATGTTAATGAGACGGAAAAGATGTTGCAGGAAACTATTTGGACGACACAAAAAACTCGATCGTACTTAAATTTTGCTAAGAAGCATTTGACGACATCTAGTCTAGAAATTCTTGGTGCTTATAAGAAAAGGCAGACTTTAGTGGATGTTTTAGAGATTCTTAAATTCTTACAGGAACTAAAGTCAACAAATCAAAATATAGATGAATTACTTAAAGTTGGAAATTATTCTGAGGCAATTAGCTTGCTTTTACAAAACAAGAATCTTTCAGAAAAGTATTCAGAATATACATGCACAGAGTCATTTAAGCAGAAATTACAAGATACTTTAGATTCAACTGAAATTGCCCTAGATAATGCACTAAATGGAGTTACACAAAAGTTTGATCCCAAAGTTTACTCTGAATTAATAAATGCATATAAGCTATTAGGTAAAGCTCATTTGGCGATGGATCAACTGCACATGAATTTCATATCAGCTATCCATACATCAGCATTTAATGTATTGAAAGAGAATTTAGATCAAATAGCACCAGATCAGAAGTTATTATTTGAGCAAATGTGCGAGAGTTTAAGTTACGAAAATTTGCCAAATTGCTTAAACCGATTATGTAAATCATTTTGGCAAATACTTGTGTGCTTCTATCAAGTGAAATTGTGGCATCAGAATTATAAACTATACAAGAAACAAGAGCAAACAACAAGTGACGTAAATGAGCGTGATAACGAGACATTTAACGATGATTATATACATGAAAAATTGAAAAAGGGTCAAATAAGAATCTGGAGTGATATACAGGCAAAAATGACTATTTTTATATCAAGCACTAAGCTATCACAATTAAAGTATGAGAGCTTTATTCAAATTTTGTCGATTGTACAGCGTATGAAGAAAGTCGGATATGAATTTTGTGATGATAATTCACAGAAAATGCTCGATGCGATGAAAAATCAATGTATTGAATTCTTTAAACGTTATCACGTAACATGCTTGGATGAAATAAATCTCTTCATAGAGCACGAAGTGTGGGTTCAAGTACAATGTTTCAACAGTGTATTACAATTACAAGAATACAAGTCAACTAAGCGTGCGATAAAACGTTATTCGAATGATAAAAAAAGTGAGAATGAATCTCTAGCGACAACTGCCGTTTTGTCAGTAAATAACTCGCCCACAAAACGTGCGCTGGATGATTCATCCGTAAATTCACAAGATGAGAGTTCTATTTATGGATCTTGTGGATATTTCGTAAGGTTTTCCGAGAAAAGTTCACCATTTGAGATTCCATATGATCAAAAAATGTTAGAAGAAGACTTTTTGGCTGGAATTGCCGACGAGACTTCATGCTATTATTCTGAAGATAGTTCCGATAACGATAATGATAATATAACACAGATTAATAATAATAATAACAATAATAATATCGATAGCTTATCCTCAATGACAGTAAATAATACGAGTTTAAATATTTTAAGAATTATCGGACGTTACCTACAAATGTGCCGACTTCTTTATGCAATTGCACCCCACATAATATATTCCATGACTGAATTAATTGATTTTTATCTTTATGCAATTTATGAGATTTTTGCAAAAGATTTATCCGTGCCTAGCGAAGCGTTACATTCGTCTGAATTAACATGTAATTTAAAGCGAATATCTGAAACTGTTATATCCAAAATGCGTAAATGGCCACCATCAATGCAAATGATTGAGTATGATTTAAAGGACTCGGAGCAATTTTTCGCATTATCCAAACGAATTAATGCAGTTGAAAGTTGTAATTCAATTATTGAGCAATTCACATTCATTCATGGCTATTTGGATCATCTAATTGAATCAACGAAGGCTACGGCTGAGGAAGTTGAAAGTGAACATCAATCATTGAAAATTTATATCAACGAAATGACAAAATGTGTCGAGGACGTGCGCAAGCCAATTTATATAGCTGTAACAACTCGAGCTATTGATATCCATGCGACAATAATGTCCATTAATAAAGTAAAATGGGATATTGGACATGTAATGGTTGAGCATAATGCATATGTTGACGTCTTAAATAGGGTAATATATTCATAATCCTTATCGTGCTTTCTTTTTGCACATTAACTTTTTGTTGAGTGCATTTTCCTTGTTAGAAATCTTTTGAATTGTGTCAAAATAACCGTTATTATTTTTTGAATTTATTTCAACCGCTAAATTTTGAAATATTTTGTAACCGCTAGAACTTTATCTAGGAAAATGCGCTTTAGACATACTTGAGACTTGCAACTTTTAAACAACTTTAATTACACCCTTTTCCTTTGTCTTTATTAATACTTAGTCATCACAATTGTTTGCTATGCGCTTGGAAGAAATGTCATCGTCAATAACAATACCTAAAGAAGCCCTATGGGACAGTTATGCACATGTAGTCACGCATGTTCTCGTTGAAGGATTTGCGAATGCCAAGAAATGTTCAGCAGCTGGTCGAGCGTTAATGCAACTTGACTTTACTCACTTCTTATCTGTTTTGGTGACTTTATCAGGAACGAAACATCCACAGCACCAACAGTATGTTGATCAATATATTAAAGCTTTTTATTTGGGAAGTGCTTTAGAGGAATTTATTACAACACAAAAGGCATATAGTTGTAAGCACATGGTAGGATTAATTAATTGCGCATGTAACGATAAAAAATTACGACAAAAATTATTGAATCTCGTTGAAAATATGAACGAGACTAGAAATTAAACTATTTCACTACTTTTATTATTGAATTCGAATGTCTCTCATGCATATAGGTTGTGCAATTTCATCTGAATGATGATTTTTAATTTTTTTCGAACATTCTTTAACTTGTTACTAATTATTGTACTTATTGTAGTAATTTATTCTCGAAAGTATTTATTTCATTCCAAATTATGAATATAAATGTTTATTTAATGTTCTCTAGAAAAAAAAGACATGACTGAAATGGAAGATTTAGACTAATTTTCTCATTTTCAACTGCGAAACTATATTATTTTATTCTAAAGAGATTATAATTTACTCTAATACTTAGCGAATCTCAAAAATAGTAAAATCAAGCACGGTATGAGAACAATATTGAAATTCTAACGGTTTTTTAAAATTCAAAACATTTTAAAGCTGAAAGTTCAAAAAACGGATTTTTTAAGCTCATAATTCAAATTAACGGACTATTTTAGTTCAAAATTCAACAAAAATTACGTTTCAAGTTCAAAATTCAAATTAACGGTCTTTTGAAGCTGAAAGCATTAAAAATCTATCATTCTCATATACAACACATTACTCAATAGCAAATGATCAAAAATAGGTGATTCAGAACCGATTTATAATGTTTTCATTTATTCAACCCTCTTTTAATAAATAGTTACTTCTTAAACCGTGCTTGCATACCAAATTGATGCAAATTTATGCTTAAAAAAAGACATTAGACACTGTTAGACACCATAGAAATGCATTTTTGAATCTTCTAATATGTAACGCATTTGACAAAAGTATCCAAAATGTATCCTTTATTTAACGTACACTGTGGCTGAATCTTGATTGATTTAATCTTTTAAAAACATTTTTTTATGTTTTACTTTGTAGTAATTTGATACATCAATCAAGACACTAGAATTAGAAAAAAATGAGTTTCATAATAATCATAAAAGATTTTATTTCTACAAGTTTTGTTCCGTTTTCTATTATAATCATAGAATATTTTATTGTATACATTATTTTTGTGAAATAATAAAAAAATGTGATGAACACAAAAAAGAATTGGCTCATAATTGCTGGAAGTAACAAGAAAGTGACGTAAAATGATATCAATTTCCATAAACAATCATAATATTTTTGTAAAAGTATCAATTTTATTTTCCAGTAGCAATAATTTTTAATTAAATATCCATAATTGCTGCAGAGAAAATATTTATTTGAATATTTCTGATGCTGTTGATGATCTAAGCTCCGCCTCTTGGTCTGTCCAATGATCATTCATCTTCTGCCTATGCTTCTTAAGTGTTTTTTTCTCTTTTGAAGATCTTTTGCATTCGTTAATTTGCTGCCTAATTGTTCAGTCAAGTGTCTTGAAAATGGAATTTACAAATTTAAGTCCATACGATCAGTCAGTGAAGAGTTGTGATGTGAAATTTTTGGATAATGAGATATCAAAAAGAACACCAAAGTGTGCAAGATGTCGGAATCACGGCATCATATCAAATTTAAAAAGTCACAAGAAAATGTGTAAATGGAAGGATTGTCGTTGTCCAAATTGTCTTTTAGTTGTAGAACGACAAAGAGTGATGGCTGCACAAGTCGCCTTGAGACGACAGCAAAGTTCACATACTGGAAATACATCAGTAACCACAAACACGTCGTCATCAAAAATTAATTCATTAGAGTATCTTGAAAGGATTCAGAACATGGAAGCACTTATCGCACAAAAGCGAGCATATCAAAGGCAATTAAAAACTTTGCAACAGTCAGCTGCCTTTAATCGACATCAACAACGTAAGTAAATGGGTTTTTATGATAAACAAAAGGATTGAGGAATTAGGTCAATTTGACAACTAGTTTTTTACATGCATTTAAAATTTAATTTTCATCCGGAAAAAAAACTGAATGAGTATGAAAATTGCATTCTAGCGTGAATTTCAAAATAATTTAATTTTCCATTTATTTTTTTTTTCGGTTCCATCAAATGGAAAATGTGAAATGAATGGAAAATTTAATTTCGAAATAAATAGCACTTGGTGGTATCTCATTTCAAAAAAGAGAGGAATTTTTGAAGAGGAAGATATTTTATTTTTTGGGGGAGATTAGGTCTGAAAAGTTTATTTTTTAAAAAAATTATTGAACTTAGATTTAAAAATTTAACGGTTGCATGAAATTTGAAGTTAAATGACACAAAGAATTCAACGGCTTCAAAAAAATCAAAAAATATTGAACTGAAATGAATTGAACAATTTAACGGTTTTCAAAGATTCAAAAGATATTGAACTGAAATGAATTGAAGAGTGTAACTGGTTTCAAACATTCAAAAGAATTTTTAACTGTAATGAATTGAAGTCTGAATTAGTGAATGTTTTTTAATTTCAAAAATTGAAACATTTTTAAATTTAAGCCTTTTGACTTTTTAAATGCCAGATTCTAATATCTTTGTAACTTCATGACACATTTAGCAGAAGAGAATTCAGTCTCTTAATCTTTCATATTCTTAATATACTCATAGGGGCTGTTCACTTATTACGTAACGCGAAAAAATTACTTTTTAGACCCCCCCCCCCCTCGTAACAAAATTTGTATGAAAAAAAAATTTCCTTGTTTGAACCGTAACAAAATCTTAGACCCCCCCCCCCCCTAAAAGCGTTACGTAATAAGTGAATGGTCCCATAGCTGAATCTTACAAATTTTGAAAACGTTAAGAAACCTTCATATAAAAATAAAAAGCCACAAGAATCACTCAAATATCAGCTCCAAACTTGCTTCTTCTCTTTAAAAAAAAAAGAAATGAAATTAAGTCAAAAAAAGAGATTTTTTCACACCATGATCACTTACAAACAAAATCGAGAACATCCACAAAATAAAGAAGTTAATTGAAAAGAAAACATTGCTGCCGACATGACTAATTACATATTTTCCGACTCACTTGATATTAACTTAATTTTTCATTAATGAAAGAAATTCTTTATGTCAAGTTGCCATCATTCCCTTGAAATGCCTTCATCTCGATGTGTGATCATCGCAATGAGTGACTAAATGAAATGAAGTAGCAAATTATGTTCGCTGTTTCATTCCTTTTTCGTTCTCACTTAAAATCTGATTTCTTGTTAAATGAAACACATTTTAAATAAAATATTATTAACTTTATAATCTCAGTATAAGTAACGTAATTCATCATCAACTGACATGATTTTTTATACATAGGCATAATGTTGATGTGTTTATATTTGTTTAGATTGTTAATTGTTTTTTATTTATTTAACAATTCTTTAAGTATTCAATCTCAGTTCCTACAGCAGGCAGGCATTAAATGAATGTATGCTAATACGCAATTTATTTTCTTGAATATTTTCTCATCTCCTTCGAGAGTTTATGAAGTACATTTAGACCCAGTCACCCGCTGGTTCTTGTAGAACGGAGAAAGATGCCTTTTAGATTTTTTTTTATTGAGATTTGAAAGAAGCTGAAGGTTTTGTGTTATAGCCTGATATTAGTTCTCACTTTGGGTGGTGTGCAGAATTCATAGCTTGATGCTAAGAACACATTCTTAACCTAGCTAAATCTTAAATGGGCTAGCAAAAAGACTTGTCCTAGTCTAATATTTCACCTTAATCAGGCACTAGCTTGTCGCAATTTTACACACTCAGCTTTAAATACCGAATCGAAACAAAAACTTTTTAGGAATGCGCACAATTCGTCAGAATTCCAACAGATTTAACAATATTCCTCAGAGATTCACTTGACATTTTTTATTATCATCTTGATGCCTGTAGAAAAATTTAAGAGCAAGTAAAGAAAAAAGGTTTTTGCGACAACCGGAATCGAATTTCTTGAAGCATTTTTTCTGCTCGTCATGTGCATGCAATAATTGTGGATACATTTTCAGAAAATAAGAAATAATAAGCAGAAACATTCGTCCGGAAGTTTTACTGAAAATCGACCATTTCCTTTAAGAATTTCTTTCCTATTCTTCTTGTTATTATTGACTGTGTAGAAAATAAAAATTCCAATGAACCTTTTTCTTCTTATTCTTACATCCATTTATCAGTGTTTTCATGCCAGACTTCTCGACACCAACAAGCATGTCGAAATCTCGGCAGTTCATTCAGTAAATGAGAGTGATTATTATTGTGTTTGTGACATGAATACAGGAGATAATTTTTTATTGATTGACGATTAATTTGGCATGCTTTCGCAATTTAATTGAATTTTTGATTCGAGTGCTGAATATGGAGCTATTTGAGCGAGGAATCATATATTCTTTAGACATAAAGTGTATCTTCATCCGCCTACGCACTCTTTGACATTTCTCACTTAAAGATATTGAAATATTTCTATTCCTTATGACCTTTGAAAAGGATTAAGTTCAAACGTTTTTAGCCTCCTGACATTCTGTCAATATACTTTATATGTACATTATGAATATAAAACCATCAAACTCTATAGAGCGATGCGAATCCTTTTTGAGAAAGATCCATAAAATATGTAAATTTTTACATTTTGTAGAAATAACTCAGTTAGACATCACATATGTTATGCTTAACACTCAGTTTTTGACTTGTATCATATTGTTTATGAATCCTGTACTTAAAAGATATGGTTTTGTCAACAATTCATTGTGCTTAACATTTGTTATTATTAGTATTATAGCTTTCACTCTTCACAAAGGACCAATCAATGTCATTAGTAATGAATTCGTGAAAAAATGCAGAATTAATAAAAATCAAATATCAGAAAAATGGTCGTCAATGAAAATAGGAAAATTAATTTAAATCAATGGATTTAAATTATGGATATTGCACACTGCTGCAGCGATAATTGAAAGTCCTAGATTTTTGTTTTCTATGGTTTCACATTTCGCAGTTAAAATAACATAAAATAATATCCAAATATCAATTTCGGATCCTACATAAACATATTGACGATTCATATTCACATTTATTTCATGGTTATGCCTATATGATAGACAATTTATGTGTGTCATGGAAACTTTTCTCGCATGATAAATTTCTGTAAAGTTAAAATTATAATAAAGCGTCTCAAATTTCACTTTAAGAAGGACATGGAAGTGCTCACATATGCTACATTCATTGCTATTCATAAACATTGCTACAAAAATTGTCACTCGAAGGAGATGAAAAAGAAGACCGGAGGAATTTTCTGTTAAAATATTTTCTAACACTCCAGACATTATGGCACTTCAGCCTTTTGTTCCGCATGTGTTTTATTTCAAGACTTTTTGTCTTGTTCTTGCCTTCTTGTTTTGCTCCAAAAAGCCGAAAATTAAGGAAAAATTTTAAATTTCATGCTTCAGTTACGGTAGAATGAAAACCAGAAGCAAAATTGACCTCATTTTTCTCTAATATTTAAATTTATATCTTCTGTATACAGCATATAGAACATAGTCACAAATTAAACATTTTCTCATGTCAATTACAGGTTTCATTTCACCATACTATGCTCCATTGAATGACAGAATTAGAAAGAGGAAGGCCTTTGCAGATCCAGAATTGATGGAATCAACATTAAATTGCTATTTAAATTATCAACATATGCATCAGCTACAATCATCGACTACATCATCAACATTGTTGTTGCCATCGTTTCAACCCGAAATAAATATCAACAGCAACTTGTTGCATGCAAAGGAAATGAATAATGAACAAACACAGACGAGAACAATTTCATTCTCGATAGATTCTATTCTTGGAATTAAATGAACATGCTTCTGTTGGATTATCATCACTAAGTCTTGTAATGTACATATTTTATGAAAGTCCTTAACCAGTTTTTTACTTATTTTTTGTTGGCATTAATAAAGCAATTATGGATAAATTTATTTACAATTAATTCTGTGGTTTTAGTGCTTCCAATTTCCATCCATGTCAAGCATTTATTTTGTGGTTTTCCATCATTTCTAGCAAAAACTCATCAAGACCATCCATTACTCAAGGTGCTGCAGACTATAAAGTTGAGTGTGAATCTTGTTCTTCAGCAGACATGAGAAAACTTTTCAAATATCCTTCACCGAATTGACTTGTTAAGTTTATCGCCCTTTTAGATTCTTATTTTCCATTATACCAAAGTCGTACATCTTCCTTTTCGAAATATCACAGCGAGACATGAAAGAGTGCAACAAGTACTTTAGTAGAAATCTTTATGGATGAGAAGTTGATGTGCTCAACGTAAAAGACTATGAAACTAGCAGCAATTTGCTCTTTAAAAACAGCTTGAACGTATGATTAATCTGACTAAGTTGTGGAGAAATGAGGAACATAAAAATTTGTCAGATTAAGTTGGTAGGAGCTAGTATTGGTTGATAAGGCAGTGGATACTTGACTTGGTAGTTTAAACAATACTAAAAGATCGATTCTAGTTTGATGCTTGTTGCTTTTTACATCCAAATCACTCAAAATTTGATTCAATTGTATATAGGGTTCGGAAAACCACAAACTGATTATCTACAGTTATCAACTTTTAGATTATCTACACAAAATCTACAATTATCAACAGTTAGTAAACTGTAGATAATTTCTTTGAATGAAGAAAATCCGTTAAAAAAATTTGCAAAGTTTTGTAAACAAACAATTTTTAGAGACTTTTTTAATAAATTTATATATAGAATACACTTATTATACATTAAGAGAGCTCAAATGTCAACATTAGCTATTAAAAATCAACTTTTTGTTTATCGAATATTTGTAACGGTTATATGAAATTCAAATATTGTTCACATGTTTGTAAACAAAAAAAATTTGCGAAAATTTCTTAATTTTCAATTAAATTACCACACAAACGCTTTTAAAATACTGAATGAAGCCTAATGTCACTTTATTTGAACTGTTACATGCTGTTGCAGTCCTGATTTTAGCATTTCAACTCTTTTTTCAGTAAATTAATAACGTTTTTTTCCACTTTGAAAAAATTATCTACAGTTACTTGTCTACAGTTACAAATTGTAGATAACTGTAGATAAGTGTTACTAACTGTTAATAACTGTAGATTTCCGAACCCTAATTGTATATGTATAAAGGTAAGGTTGATGATCTATTTATATTTTCATATTTGAGAAAGCTTCGTAAACTTCCGAAACAGACCAAATCCATTCTGAGCACATCCATTATTTTTGTCATGAAAATTCATCGGAATTCGTGACAGAAAAGGACTCATAAAATTGACCATCACTTAAATAGAATATTTATCTAATCTTGTATCACATAATGCTCAATGGTTCAATGTTTACATGCACTTATTTCCAGTAAATTTACTTTCTATGTGTTTACACACGAAACTGACAAGTTTATTCTATGTAATGTTCCCACATCGGTTGTGCTGTATTATTTCATGTCTGTCAATTGCATTCAGAATCATTTCCGAAAGGATCCAATGCTCTTTTATCTTATTCACATGAAAATGGAGAAAGAACAACATTACAGGATGGAGAAATCTTATTTAATTGGGTTTGGTTTGCCAGAATATGAATTCTGTAGTTTTCTGTTGTTTACGAAACTTCTATTTGCGAGAAAAGCATTAGCAACAACATCCAGTGAACATAGATGCACGTGTGAATAGACACAATCCCAATAGTCCTCTTTATTTGAATTCTGTCATAAATTTGACGGTAAAATGATAGTAAATGTCACAAAGATAAATACACAAAGGTATTTCAATAAATTGTCTCCAAATGGATATCCAACCAGCCATTAACGGATTACGTTTGAATCGTCTTATTGTACAAAATTAAATCGGATATCAATTGAAATTAGACAATTCTCTAGACGTGAAGTTGTAAATGATAGACGGGACTCAGCTCATCCATTAATTCAATTTGAATACTCTGACAGTCTCATTACCGTTCAATTTATTGCCTTTTGGATAAATTTACGTCTGATATAAGAATCTTATGCCTTAAGCTTTTGGTATGCGTGCCAAGTTTCAATTTACATCTGTATTTCTTGTAATGTGCTGCTTTAAGCTATCTTAAAATATTTATTCAAGACGATTCCTTTATTATGAAAATTTTTGTATCAATTTGATAGCTCAGCTGCAGATCTTATGTGATTTTTAGGACTAGCTACCATGTTTCAAAGCTCAGTCTACTTTAGAAGGCAATTTGATGAAACAGATATTGAGAAATCAAGTTTAAACCATCCAGAACAACATCAAATCAGTATTTTCTCCTACAAGGATATTCCCTGCTGCTTTTTCTCAATGTCGGCACGCTGATTTTTAATCTACAGTACAGCACAGTAAAGGGAAAAGAAAAGAATGAAAAAAATTGCCAAAGGCAAACAATTTACTTTTATCAACATTATAAATGATAATATCAAGCTATGGTCAACGGAAGGAAAAAGTTGTTTGACAAAACTTTAATGGAAAGGTTTTAATTTGATTTTGTTGAGAAAATTGAAAAACTTTAATAGCTGTTTATTCATTGACTTTAGGGATGGCAAAAATTTCTATTTTAAATGCACGAGGAAGATATTGGATTTTTATAAGAGCCTTAAGACATGTTCATGATAGACTGTTCTTTAATATTTGAAAAGATCCTTTCGATTATTGAATGTACATGTCCTATCCTGTGATTATTAAGCTGTTATTGTAATATTAGTCTTCGATTAATATTGAAATGATTTTTTCTGTTTTGTTATTTTTTCTGGAATTTTCATTTAAAAACAGAGCATCTTTGTGTATTAGCTTTAGGAAAATCGATTTTATTGCAGCATTTATATCTGCAACATTGTTCAGCTGTTTAGTTTTTGATATAAAATGCTCACTGTAAATCCAAACATTATTGTTGTAATTAACGCGTCATACAATAAATTCTTCGTTTCCTAATTACTGTTTTGATATTTAAATTTATTTCTCAATTAAATCTTAAAGCTCGTGATGTTTCCACGCGCCTTTAATGGTAATTAATTGGCTTGATTTTTCAGTCTGGAGGCAATCAAATGATTCTTTTGTTTTCAGATTTATTTACTTAATTTAATAAGGTTCAATTGTTAAATCTTGGAACAACTGAAGCACTTTCTGGTAAATTTCTAGTTAAGATTCCACTTAAAATTTCATAAGAATCTGTTTGAAATATCATGACTTTTTGTATAGATTTTTTATTATTGGACAGATTATTTATTGAATATTTCAGCACTCATAAATTCAAAATTCAATATGGATGGATTTGATAAAAGCTTTTGTTCCACAATTAACACCTTTATAAATGTTTATGTATATGTGTGAAGATGCATACATGAATATTGTCGTCAAAGCCATTTTTTACCATTTATTTAAATTGAATTTCATTCTTTTGTGAAACAATTTTTTAAAAAAATCCGAAACAATTGTATTTGTTCACTGGAAATAAGCGTCATTAGCTTCCGCGTGGAACACGGAAGGTGTTTCTTAATGTCGTTCAAATTTTGCATAAATAATCGACCATTAAAAGAATTTCAATTTATGTGGTTTTGAGTGGGTTTAAGAAATATTTATGTAAATCAGGATTAATTTTAAACCGGATTTGAGGGTATATTAGCATTTTTTATCATTTATAATAACTAGATATGTTTTAAAATGCAATTTAAAGCATTTTTGGTTTCGATCATAGTAGGCTATTTTCAAAAAATATCGATTTTACATCTATATTAGCATTCTTAATCATTTATAATACCTAGATATGTTTTAAAATGCAATTTAAAGCATTTTTGGTTTCGATCATAGTAGGCTATTTTCAAAAAATATCGATTTTACATCTATATTAGCATTCTTAATCATTTATAATAACTAGATATGTTTTAAAATGCAATTTAAAGCATTTTTGGTTTTGATCATAGTAGGCTATTTTCAAAAAATATCGATTTTATATCTATATTAGCATTCTTAATCATTTATAATACCTAGATATGTTTTAAAATGCAATTTAAAGCATTTTTGGTTTCGATCATAGTAAAATCGATATTTTTTTGAAAATAATAATAATAATAATAATAATAATAATAACTAGATATGTTTTAAAATGCAATTTAAAGCATTTTTGGTCTCGATCATAGTAGGCTATTTTCAAAAAATATCGATTTTACATCTATATTAGCATTCTTAATCATTTATAATACCTAGATATGTTTTAAAATGCAATTTAAAGCATTTTTGGTTTTGATCATAGTAGGCTATTTTCAAAAAATATCGATTTTATATCTATATTAGCATTCTTAATCATTTATAATAACTAGATATGTTTTAAAATGCAATTTAAAGCATTTTTGGTCTCGATCATAGTAGGCTATTTTCAAAAAATATCGATTTTACATCTATATTAGCATTCTTAATCATTTATAATAACTAGATATGTTTTAAAATGCAATTTAAAGCATTTTTGGTCTCGATCATAGCAGGCTATTTTCAAAAAAATATCGATTTTATATCTATATTAGCATTCTTAATCATTTATAATACCTAGATATGTTTTAAAATGCAATTTAAAGCATTTTTGGTTTTGATCATAGTAGGCTATTTTCAAAAAAATATCGATTTTATATCTATATTAGCATTCCTAATCATTTATAATACCTAGATATGTTTTAAAATGCAATTTAAAGCATTTTTGATTTTGATCATAGCAGGCTATTTTCAAAAAAATATCGATTTTATATCTATATTAGCATTCTTAATCATTTATAATAACTAGATATGTTTTAAAATGCAATTTAAAGCATTTTTGGTCTCGATC